TAGGAATCACTTTGAAATTATGTAGATTTACCTAATTTTAACCAACTTTTTTAATTGTATCAACAACGAGATAGCAACCCTTACGTCAACCTAGTTCCTAAAAAGATGATTAAACAAAAAATCAAGTATTACAATAAGTACAAATAATTTTATCATAATTTTACACAAATTATATGTTTAATATGTTTCATAGAGGATTAAGACCAACAAATATAGTAATTCCTTGATTTCATAAATAAAATAGATTTCAAAATACGCTCAGTGATATTGAGAATACATGCTAAGAAAAATTACTGCTATAACTACGCGGGAGGTAAGATGACAATCTGAAGAATCCGCCACTGACAGGGAGAAGCCCTCAAAAACCACTGGCTAGCCAATGAAAGAGCACCCCTGACTGTGCATATAGCCACGTGGACTATCGAACAAATAAGCTGGATCGAGAGGTCTGACTTTATGGTTGGTGTCCATTCATTGTTGCGGCCAATGTCAGCTCCTTGAATCGACACTTGATTTTTTTAGTCCACAACGAAACGCAAGGTCCAAATCAACTATTGAATACCGCCCACTCAAAATGTAGAAGATATAAAAATTTATTTTGTATTATTCATAATTCTTAACTCAAGTTATACAAAAAATGAAGGGTTTTTTTTCCTTATAAATAATTTATCTTTCCTATATATTGTTTTTGTATTGGTTTTGAAAAAATAATTTAAATAAAAAGATATTTTACATCAATCTTAATTTGTATGTCTTTGAACTCGACAAATTTTGCAATCACTGTGTAATTTATAATTATAAAATCATTAAAATCTCTATGCAGTCACATGAATTGTTCCATTCATCCAGTTTCTACAATCTATTAATGTCTGTCGTTTTATACACACATCTTTGTATTAAATACGTGGTATTTAGAAACACAATGCATCAGAACGACGTTTCCTATGAAACGTGCGTAACAAAACCCGACTATTTAGTATTGCTACATTCCCTCAGTGCAAACCAAAACCAGTTTGTTATCTTAATGTTAGTATATTTTATGTACGTATTCTCCTACTAATATTATTAACGTAAATATGTAAATATTGATGTTTTATACTTTATAACAAAACCCTCCTATGAGTAAGGCTTATGTGTGGACACTAACGGCTGATATGACAATGATGTGATGGGTACTTTATGCTTAGTCTCGCCTAAACAGTTAAATACATTTAAATGAAATTAAGTGCCTACTTGAGTGATCCACGAACTAGATTTTTTTATCCTAATTCACTAAGACAAAGCCATTGTATACTAACTTAATTTCTCAACTAGTTCATATATAAAATCTTAATTTACTGTTTTTATTATTACGTAGATATCTACTAACTTATAAGTATACTTAATATGACAAAAATTTAATATTTCCGTCTATTTTTAATCGATAAGTGATGCAGTGTGCTTGTTTGGAATGTATTGAAGTACGTCGTGATTGAGAGGTGATTCGTCAAATTTCGTCCCATGTTGAGTTGACAAAGTGGCTACTCTTGAGTTTCGTTTCATTCACATATAACAAGCGAACTTAAATCACTTCTACACTTGCAGACATCCGTTAACAATAAAAAATGTTCTCTATTCGTAAAGATTTAATACCTGGATCGTCTACCAAAACAGATAGTTTCTTAACAACGGTACCATTTTAATATTTATGGTTTAAAATCGAATTCTGATCTAGATGGATGATAAAAGCGTGTATATATTTACATATTCGATCTTTTAGAGTATGTAAATATAAGCATAGTATAGTTTTCGGTAAATTGAATAATTAAAAAACATTATAGTTTATTTTTTATTTATTTTTTTTAAAATCTAATGTCCATATCACACCTACACCGGTTAGGATTGAGAATACTACGCTCGAAGTTGTCGATGAGTATGTACCTATACCTGGGACAAATTGTCCGAATAGGTAAGTCCAACTTCGACCAAGAGGTTCGGAAAACATTCGGAAGACATTCGGAAAACTACGCCATACCTTTTTATCCAAAATACCTCAGAATTTGAAGACAAATGTCTTTAACCAGTGCGTGTTGCCAGTGATGACTTACGGATCCGAAACGTGGTCCTACACGATTACCCGTATGAAAAGCTACAAGTTACTCAGCGGGCTATAGAGAGGGCTATGCTCGGAGTCTCTGCGTGATAGAATCCGCCCAGGTGGCCCAGGACTGTTCTTTATAGCGATTTATGAGGGGAGGCTTATGTCCAGCAGTGGATAGTGGCTGAAATAATGATGATGATAGTTTTTTTAATGGCTGACAATGGAATGTAAACCCTACCTGCGTAATTGGTATACACTGGTGGAACACCAGTGAGGAATGATCAGTGAAGATGAAAGCAGGTCAGTTAGCTCATCGTGACTTTAAGAATTAACCACGATAGTTTCCAGACGGAACCGCATGGAGGTCAACCTAATAGGGTGTAGGTATTGCTAGCAATGGCTATGTTAAACCCCATTACTAACAATCCCCTAACCCCCTGAAAATTCATTTTTTAAACAGTTTTATTGTTTACAAACTTTTTACTAAACCATTGAAATAATCCATTTCTAGATGGTGTATTAAGATAAAACGTACACCAGATTTTAGTTAGACCTACAGGAACACAACTGTAAGAATCGAATTAATTTGTTTTTGCGTGATACTGAAACAAACATACAAACAGAAAAAATATTGAAAATTATTGTTTTGGTATCTATTGGTCTTATTAAAATCCCTCATATATTTTTTTAAATATCTGTCATGTACAGATATCGTATAATTGTAATCGTATTATATTAGCAAGATATTGTAATGTAAATAACAAAACAAACTCCTACTGTGTTGAATTCCTTACTATATATAATCAGTTTATGATTATAATACAAGAGATGCTTTCTTGCGTAGATTTGCTCTTTCAAGATCGTGTAATGCCTAACGTTGAACACGGAAATTACTGACTTATTTTAGATTATAGATATCTACTCTATCTCTTTCATTTTTTTTTTACAAATGTCTATTTGATGTTCAAAAACATTGTGCAATAAAACTGCGAAAATCTATTGACCGTACCTTCGAATCCATGATCGAGCCAGACACTCCTTAATTGACTTCATGCTATATTTTGGGACTGCTTGAACTTACCTTAAGTATCTAGAAACATTGGCCTATTACAACTGTAAGTAAGATTTCGATGTTGGGCGTTGTATATATCATACGACTCATAGAAGATGTCTTAACTTTACGAAAACGTACGTTTATTTAAATACCTAATTTTAACCATTCAAGTGTTTCATTATTCTTTCAGTTTTATACTTATTTATAAAAAATCATTCTACACCATAGTCTAGTCTGAGACTTAAAATCGAGAATGCCTTTAACTTTGTCAATGACTGACTATTCGGGATGCTGAATTAAAAAATTTAAACCAAAAATGAGGACAATACTCTAAATACAAATAAACATTTATTATTTTAATACATTTATGTACACACATTTACGATAATTATCACAAAGTTATTAGCTAATAAGTCATCTAAAATTCAATTACAACTCGTATGCTCAATTTTAATGATGAATATTTCAAGTTGTTTATGTTGCTGAACGTGTGTTCTATAATATACAATGGGCGCAAAACTCGACTCGAAATTACAAATATCTTTTACATGGACTAATAAACGTAAAATATGCTAAAGAGGCTTCTTATGACAACTTACAATTATTTTCTATGTACACACTACTTCTTTTCGTTTCGTTTTTTACTTTTATACCATTGTAAAAACAATTGCATCCACACATGAAATGTTCCTATTTGTTGATATCATTTATCATTAATTTTATTACCAATAAGCACCGATTTTCGTTATAAATTTAGTTATTTTTGTTTTTCATCAGCGACAGTTTGTTTGCGACAATCGCTGTATTAAATCGCTATCGTCTCTTGAAAATAGCATGCTTTTTTGGAATAGTGTTTTTTTACATCATTTTATTACTCTATTCACATTTTATTACATTAATAATAATCTTACAAATAATCACTATGACTATTGTATTATTCTAAAGATGTACTTAAACATAGTGAGATTAAATTATTTACAATACAATTTTGCCTACTTACTTGTAGGAAAATAATTTGTCTTGTGAACAACATTATGTCTTCATCTTATAGTAAAATATCATTTATGCTTATACAAGGTTGTTTAAAAAGTAAAATCCCTTAATTTATTAGTGTTTTGTAGAACTGTTAACTTATTCTTTTGAAAATAAATGCCTAATATATACATAAAAATTTTAAAACCAGATTAGATAATAAAGGCACTTAGGTAAATATTTATGTTTGAGCATCATCCTAAGACATTCCATATTTCATCCAAAAATATATATACCAAAATAAACAATCAGAAGACTATATATGACTATATACTTTTATATTAAATAATCTAAATACTTTTTAGTAACCGTAGTGAGCCTCAAAATGACATTCAGCGGATCACTTTTAAACAACCCTGTATAATAAATTATTAAGTAAAAAAAATAATATTTCCAGATTTTATTTGGAATGACATGCAATTATATTTTTGTGTATGATTTATACAAGTCTAAATATAATAAATACATTCCCTCTTTCCATATCCAAATTAAAACAGGTAACTTTAATTACCTATATAATTAGTTATATTTGTTGCAGTATAATAATTAATTGTACCTAACATTCAGTGATATATCGTCATAGTCGTAGAATACTGACGGATCTATATATGTAATATTTGTCAGATCCATCAGTATTCTACAACTATATATATATATATATATATATATATATATATATATATATATATATATCATTATATGATACATTTAATTATTGTATATTTATGACAAAATGTGTACTGTAAAAATACTATAAATTTAAATTATTATTATTAATGTAATTAGATAGATAAATAAGTCTACAACATTGTTCTATAGAGATAATTATCGTAATAACATTAATGGTGTATCGCCTGCTGAAAATTAACTTTTATTTAATATTGTAAAAGGTTATACTTTCTAAAATTATACTTTCTTTAATCTAATTATACTGGTATATATTTATAATTAAATTGTCGAATAGAATAAAAACTTTGTACTAAATAAATTTAAAAGAAATTCAAAATGTATTTAATATACCTACAACAGACTAGAATTCGTTCATATTGATTTTCGTAAAACTTTAAAATTTTACTCAAATCTATTAAAACTTCGTACTTACTATACCTAAATTCAATTACTTATAATACGTCAATATATTTATTTACATTATAGATAATATTACATAGAAATGCGTTTCAAATTAGGTTCTCTCTCTAACTCATATTCATACTACTTATAGCCTAACAACATGGAAACAATAAATGTAGCTAGGCTATATGGGTATCTAAATCAGATTATTTAATATTATCCTCGTATCTACAAGTTCACCTTTAAATGTATACCTTTAGATACATTCTAAAATAAGTCTTCTGGCACTATACTTCAAAATACCTAAGATTCCTACAGCATGAATAATAAATAAAAACTGTTCGCACTGTAAAGAATTTCACTGTTTCAAACTTCAGATTATTAAATTACCGCGTCGTCATAAAACATTAGATATTCCCGTTCTCCCCTGCACTCAGCCTCTCGCGTTCTTCTTAGACCGTTACACCTAGGACAAAAAATATTCTTATGTGAAAAAATCATATTTATTATAATTTTTATTTAAATTTGACCATAAACCACCTATAACCATATTGAACTCTAATATGTTCGACGTAATGTGGGAGTTTTACGTTCACCATAACAATAGTAGTAGGTAAAACTGATGGTAAGGCAGCTACAGATATTGTCATCTCTGACTGCCTTACCAGCAATTACAGCCGTGAGCATGTATAAAACATTTTATGTATGTGTTTCCTAGATTTTATTGATAAATCTAAAGTAAAAACTTTTAAAGGGTTATATCTTGATTTATTTATTTTATGGTACGTTTCTAACCATGAAAACTAAACATTTTTTTGCCATCGGATTAGTATACTTTTAGGGTAAACAAATACAAATTAAAGGTATGATGAATTTATAACATTTCTCATCGGTTACCTTTAATTAATATTTGTAATAAAGTAGGGTACGAAATATGAAATAAATATGATTGACACATTAAAATTTTTGTCAGTAGAATCATAGATTCAAATAATTTTTAATATATTTTATATGCCCATGCCTTTTAGAAAAAAACCACAGCTTACAGGCAAGTTCACAGTAATCACTCCCGGGAGGTTAACTGCTATAAAAAAATACTTTCCGTGAGCTGATTGTGATGGGTAAAGCAATGCTATAGCATTCATCTTACACATAGGTCATTACTTCCATTGTTTGGAATACATTCCGTTTTACAAGCGGTAGAGCACATTAAAAGAACATGGCCGTTTTAAACGCGTTTGAACATTAATCGATAATGCACTTAATATGTCGTATCACGTAAAATATTAATCTTCCTTAAAAATGGCAATCATACCGCTTCCACCAAAACTGTTTCATTTTCATATGATATGAAAATGAAACAGATATGACAAAATGATAAGGAGTTAGTTTTTGTTTCCATGGTATCTAATAATCTGGTCATAATTCTAAATTATTTAATAATTCAGGGATACTTTGTATAAAAATCATCTGCTTGGGTACATTGGTCCCATTCGTGTTTCTGCCATGAAGCAGTTGTGTTTCAATTTGAAGGGTAGGATATGACAATGACTATACAGAATACAGAGGCATAAAACCTTAGTTCTCAGGATATCAAGGCATAAAGGGTATTGTGGACTCAGTATACTGTTACGTCTATAGTATTGTTCATAGGCGACATATTATTTTCCATCAGGTGGGCCATCAACGTGTTTGCCATTTTAAATTGAATAAAAAAAATTTAATCTATTTAATTTACTCCCTGGTATATGCAAAAACTAATGTAATACCTATTCTTTTCTTGATATGTTAGTTAAATAATATAGACTTTTTATAAAATATATATATAATCTTAAAAAATAATTAATAATCGTCACAAATAAATAAAGATTGTATCCCACAAAAAAAACTACATACTTTTATTGTAGCAAACCCAATTATTTTACTAACCAAAAACTAAACTACTCAACCGGTTTTGCTAATATTTATATGGGACCAATCTTTCAGATTAAAAAAAGAAATTTCCAAATCGGTTTACAAATGACGTAGTTATGAGGTAACAAACATAAAAAAATACACCCGATTTTAGCGCCTTCTTTTTGAAGTCGTTTAATAAAAAAAGTTACCAGAATAAACATTCTTTTACACTTTCGTAAATTTCGTTGCGGCCTGTTAAAAACAACAAGGATTATAGATTCTGTAAGAACAAAGATAACGCAAAAGAGATTATTGGCGATTAAATTTTAAATGCTAATAATTCTGTTCTTTCGTTACGTAATCCGGATGTTTTTTTTTTATTTTATTCTGAGTCATTTTGTGTGATTTTTTAACACCCTCGTAAGTATCTACCCTAACTGGGAATGTCGTGTCGGTTCAATCTTTGATTTAAATATTGGTTAATTATATCTTATCTAACTTAATATTTATAGCTAACTTTTTGACGTGGTTATATGAAAACCAATAAAATAGGTCAATTCTAAATAGCACATCAAGATAATACTTGTACCAGTTTTTAAGTTATACGTCCAGGAACACAACTATATCTAAACTCTGTAAATTGTACCTACCGAATTTTGTGTAATAGTTTTTGCGTGCTGTCGAAACAAACATACAGACAGACAGTTAAGTTATTAAAAAATATTATTTTGACCTCTATTGGTGTTATTAAAACTCATCATATTCATTTTTTATCTCTCATCGTCTAATTACAATTTTATTACATTAGTAAAATAAAGTTTGTATACGTCTTTATCATTAACAATTATAAGAAGATGGTGACACTGTAAAATTCGATTACGTTTGGATCATTATAAATTTGAAAGAGTCCTTTAGTTACCTAATTAAACAGTTAATGCTATTTCATATTTTAAAGTATATGTATAAGTTTTATCTGTCTTCACGCAAAATTCTTTAGAGGATGTCTTTTCATAAACTTGTATTGAAATTAACTACTGTATGTATTTGTAGTGCTTTGCTAGAATGTATTAGATAGATACCCATTAAGTACTTTTTGCCCACTACTTCGTACGTATGGTTGCAAAAATAGAAAAACCAATGAAGTAGATCATTTCTAGATTATTTTTGTATTTTTTTTTGTCATTGCAGAACAAACATACAGATAGAGAGAGCAAATTACTTAAAAAATATTGTTTTGGCCTCTGTTAGTCTTATTAGGATCCTATTTACTGATTTTTGTTAAATAAGTATCTGCCCTGTACAGACGTTGTCTAGTTACAATTTTATTACATTAGTAAAATTTGCCTCTTATCCTACAAATTCTAAGAGTTTATAAATACTATACAATGTACTTGTATTACGTTTATATTTACGATACGTCACCTAAGTGTCAGAAAGAAATAATTATCTATATGTAAAGGAGTCGTTGAGGAGCTTTTCAATCTTTCAATAATGAACGAACAAAGATGTTACTATGTAGCACAAAACGAATCGAATAAGATCACCAAGAATACTTAGGCAATAAATAATATGATATCCAAAGTATTTAGATTATGTTTTATGCAATTTTGAAGTTTGCTAAAATATTTATAGGTTTACTAAATCGTAATGTTTTACGAGATATTTAATGGTTCTCTCGAGCATACTTTTTATCTAGCCTCAATCTAAAAACTCAAGCAATTTGTATATGTATATACGGACTGCATTGAAATTATAGCATGACGTTGATTTACATGACTACTTATTGTGTTAAGAAAATGTAAAATAAATTGGACAATAAACTGATACTCTATTTTTAATATACATTGATAAATTGTTTTGACTTAGTTTCATTAAATTTATTTTTAAATGACGGTGATATCAAGATTGAATATCTAGGATCACATCCACATTAATTCAATTTATAAATTTGTAAAGCGCAACCTCATTTTCCATATCAGTTTTCTTAAATATTATTTTGTAGAGGTAGTGGAGTTATAAACTAGCGAATTTACTTTTTCGTCTTACTTTATATAACTACTTTCACAATGTATAAACTATGAAATAAAGATAATGATAATAATTATGATAATATAATATATCACATACCTACACCATTTGCTATTTATCGTTGAATTAACTTCTAGTTGTAGGTAAAATGCGATTGTAACATGTGTGGCGTGCATTAGTCGAAGCAAACACAACACAAACCCATTTTTTGTTCTATGGGCGCAAATGCCGTTTGATAGGTGTTGCGCGAGATTAAAGTGAAGTTAATTGACCGAACGGTAAGGTCAGTTAACAATTGGTAGATACTAATTTTAGAAGCGAATCATGGTAGGTACATGCCTGACCGAGTAAAAGGGTTACACTTGATTAAAAAAACGCAACTTTTAATAAATTCCTGATTCAGAATACGTTACAGTCTAAATTATGCTTTCGGTTTTAACTATTTATTTTTTAGTAATCCTCTTTTTAGTCTATAGTCATTATGTACTCATTTGTGTATATGATATCTGAGGGTCTAACGTAATGTAGGTACATCCATCACTCTAAATAAATATACATTATGTCTACATATACTACATTAATTCATTCAATACTTACGGTTATAAGTAACAAAACATTATAGTTTTGTATCATATTTTACTTGTCGTATGGTCCTGACATAAAATGGGCCACCCCCTCCTTTCCCATGGATGTCGTAAGAGGCGACTAGGAGAACTTAATGGTCGAGAGATGCGCAGTAGCGTCCGTCTCAAAAAATACATGCATGCTTAGTTCATACGTGTACAGAGAAAAAATATATTGTGATAATATTATCATCATCATATCAGCTATTAGCTGCCCACTGCTGAACATAGGCCTCCCCCATTAAAAGGTATTTTGCCAGTAGTTGCCACGCTTGGTAACTGCAGTTAGGCTTTAGTGATGTTTCAAGAGAGTCACTGCTGTCAAACCCTCGACCTTTAAGTTGCTTTAGTCGCCTCTTACGACACCTGTGGACAAGAAAGGGGTGACCCAATCTATACTGGGACGACACGGCAACAGCACCTCATTAGAGTATGCTACATAACAAAATAAATTTACATACCAACCTACTTTCCTAATATCGTGATTCTAATTTAGGAAATTCTAGGTCTACTGTTATGATTCAATCTATCAATCACTCAATTAGCAATTCTTGAACCGCATTTCCATATTCAGTAGGTACGTCAGTTGAAAATAAGATTGTTCTAAAACAAACGCTAACCAATAAGTAATAGATTACGTGTAATTGTAATGAAAACAACGCCCCTGATGATGAAAATAAATATAATGAAATCTATACACCAAAGTTTAGTGACTAAACCATCCATGGAGTACTAGATACCTACAGTTCCTAAGTTATTACTCCTGAGGACGAAAGCGATGCCTCCGTACTCAATAACTTTACTGCCACTTAAATATAACTATGGAAAATTAACTTACCAATATAAAGTACTTACATAATTTAGATAATTATTATATCTTTCAAATAATGTACATATTAAAAAAGTTCCAAATTCTTTGATTCCAACTAATGTTATATTAGGGTTACCTTTTTACTTGTAGATTAGATAGGGTAAATCGTAACTGTTATATCAAGCTAGAAACTAATGATAATAATAACCTATGAAACTGGCGAACAACTTTCCCCTAAAAAGTATAGTCGAAATTTCATCAGGTACCTCTGTCCCATTCCTGTTTCAACCGTGAAGCAGCTATGTTTGCATAGCTGTGTTTTGGTTTAAAGAAAGAATTTACTGAGTACAGAGAAATAACACCTAAGTCCTCGGGAATGGCAACGCATGGGGGGTATCATGGGCGAAACAATATACTCTGTTATGTCCATGGTACTGCTCATGTCTATAGACGACGGTTACCACTTTCCATCAGGTGGACCGTCAGCTTGTTTGCTATTTTAAGTTGTATAAAAAAAAAATAATTCACTAATCATTTTAAGATTTCGACTACTCTGTTTGGAAAAAGTTATCCCATTCATTAATATTGTTACTAAGTTATAGAATGAATTATTTCTAACAGAAATTCTGTATAGTTAAGTAAATTATTATCTCAACGTTGAATTTAACAACACTACAAAAGGATGAGTTGCGAGCTTCAATCTGTACCTATTGTTAAATATTTACGTTCAATGTTTGTTAGCTTATACCCCAGTTGGTTACCATATGGTCAATTCTAAGGAACAAAGCGGCAAAAAATTGCAAATGATTTTTTAATACCCATACGTTACGCATTTAACTCAAACAGGTGTTTTGATTTACAATGCATTTGTTCTTGAATATTTTTAGAAGACAAAAGAACTAATTACTGACATTATTTTATAAAGTATCTTATTACTTTTGCAACAAATCTAGATATTGAAAAATTATTACAATCCAGTAAGATAAACCCGCGCATTCTTTGGATAATGTATGTCCAGAGCTAATCAAAACAATCGTTGTGTTCGTAACTTCCGTGAAACATCAGAAAATCAGTAAAGTAGACGAGGAGCACCGCTGGCGATCTCACACACACCATCCGATTCACGCACACCCTCACATTATCAGGCACTCATTGTTACAGGCAACTTCTAACACATGTTGAGTTTCGACATACCTATAGGTGTGAACGGAGCGAGAGGCGGCAGGGTCGGCCGCCGATCTGTAAACAGTGGTTATCGACGCGCCGCCACTTGCCTTCACGGCATCTCCGGCTACTGCGCTATATTTATCCGCTCTGGAACTGACGCGCGCGGCTAAATCCGTTCGGCGCCGTATGATGCCGGCCTCCTGCAACCACAACCACGTCACGAGGTGCTCCGATGCACATCGACGCTCACCCTGCGGCCGCAGGGGTGAAATATGCGAGCAATTCGCACTGCGGAATTCGCGAACGCCACACAAATCTATAAATATGGAACGAGATCGCAGAGCACTAGCGAGGAAATAATTAGTACTCTCACCTGAGGGCAGTATCTCAGTAGGACTTATGAGCAGGCGCTGGTGCAGCTGCTACACACGCTTGATGATGATAATATGAAGGTGCTGGTGTGCGGTAGTGATGATGCGGTGGTGGGGAGGCTCGGTATGCATCCGGACCTGGCGAACTGCCCCGGAAACCCGCTAGCTGGCAGCTCGGCGGTTCAAAAAGGTCCCGGAATGCCGGCGGCAACTGCTCTGCGGGTGGTTCAGGCGCTGCATACCAACCAGACGTAGCGGCTCGAAATTCTTCAGCAGCTAAGGAATAGGGTTGCGGTGAACAATATACCGCAGAGGGTGGCAGTCGAGATTCACTAAATTCATCGAGCGCATCGACAGGTTTATCGTAACGTGCACATTCTGCGCCAGGCTCTCGCTTCGGTCTGCACTCGAAAATTCGAGGTTTGACATCAGGTTTGATATCACGCGTTTGTCCAAGTGCATCCGCTGCACTTAGTGCTTCTTGTGCTGCGAGTGCTTCTTGCGCTTGTTGAAGTTGTTGCTGCCTTTTTAACGCTTCCTCCTTTTCTTTGATGGCGTCCTTCTTTTTGAATCGGCGTCTCCGTCGCAAATACGAACCATTATCAAACATGTTGTAAGAGTCTGGATCCAAAGTCCAATAGCTTCCCTTACCGGGTTTTTTATCGTCCCTCGCTACTTTCACGAAACACTCATTAAGACTTAAATTATGTCTGATCGAATTTTGCCAACCCTGTTTATTTTCTCGATAGTAAGGAAATCGCTCCATAATAAACTGGTAGATACCGTTCAGAGTGATACGTCGATCGGGTGCGTTTTGTATCGCCATAGCAATTAGCGCTATGTACGAATAGGGCGGTTTGACCATATCCTTAGGCGCTCCAACGTGCTGTTGGTGCGGATGGAGGTAAGGAGCTCCATATCCGTATCGATATTGTTCGTAGGCATAGGGTGTCACTCCGGCTGAATAGCCGCCGGCGGCTCCGCCACGGTACGCATAGGGGCTCTGTTCGCCGAACAACGCGTGCATCGTTGCAAGCCACGTTCACCACCACAACATACTCAGACCGCGAGCGCGGAACCCTCGACACGTTGCTCTTTCGGCAACAAAATGACGACTGACTGATTTTGTTTGGATTCACAACAAGACACGTTTACATAGCGGACGCTAAACGAAAGACGAATGAGCGGGACCGTGGGCGCCACCGGTTGTTGCGCTATGACGCGGCCTCGCCCCGCCCTCACAAAGCAAGTCTCGCTCAAACAACTGCATAGGGGCCGCATCTGTCTTTGTCGCTCAGCCCCGTCAAACGCCAGGTGGAGCGACTCACGCCCAAGCCGCGGCCGAGGGCGGCGCCCACTTATCTTGCACAGCACTTCCCCTTCGCTTCGTGACACTCACACCCTAACAGACTTTATCCTCTATACTCATTGTCGGGCAACTATACTATACGACCAAAAAGCATTGCACTCGATATCTTTGAGTACTTACATACCCATGTATTAAATTAAATTTATAATATAGCCAGCTGTACCAGCAACGTCATCAATGTGACTCCTAACTTTTAAATGAAATCCCAGACCCCAAACCTTTTGGAGGAAACAATAAAGAGTATCTATCTAGTGTCTACTGTATATCTGCAACCAATATGAATATGTTGGTAAAGCAAATAATTTCGAGAATAAAACCATTTTCATAAACTTACAGATAACTTATAAAAATTAAATTCTTATTACAGAAAAAAAAGCAAAACCTAGTTAAAAATTTAAAAATCAATGACAATCTATCTTGTATAAATAAATATATATCTATAATTTTGAATATTTAGATGTTTGTTAGTTTTTCATTTATCTGCGCTAAAAAGTAAAGAAATTTAAATTCATATTCATTTAAAATGTTAATATTTTTGTATAAGTAAGTACTACTAGAACTATAGAATTATGCCTAATCAAATTGTACAAGGTCCTAAGTAGTTTCAAAAATTATAGGTATATAAACTATATATACTTGAGATCTTGCTCCGAAAATTAATGTTTATAAATATAGGATCACATAATATTAAGTAAACTCTATCAATTGAAAAATAATGATCGACATCTTATAGAATTACACTCAAAAAACAAGCAATTTGACCTTTTTTAAGTCTTTCTTTAATGAGAAAATAGCTTGTGCCTAAGAATATACGCAACTGTAGCTCAGTTGCAATTACTAATAATAATAAAATAATGCAATTTTATTAAAGTAAGGATACTGATAGCTGTGCCTTTCAAGATTTTGTTAGATACTAACCGAATTAAATAGTTACGAGTTTGTAGCTAACACTCTACTCTTAACTCGTCTCCGTCGAAAAACCATAGCGTTGTCGACTAGAAGTCTTAGTTAAACAATAATAAGTTTAATTAAATCATCCTCATAGTTTTATGTACAAAGTATTTTAATAAAAAAAATGCAATGAAATTGTCTCAATGAAATAGTGCTTACAAATCAGTACCTGATAGATATTGATCGACCACCACGCAATTTCCCTTAGAAACCATCGTGCGTAATTCTTATCGAATTCTTCAAGATGAACTAAATGGCCTGCTTTCATCGACGCTTATTATAATAGACATTAGTTTGACTAACTCACTAGTGCCCTGTCAGCGTATACTGATAGCGCAGAAGGGGTTACCATTCCATTATCAGACATCAAAAAATACCCATACGAATAAATTAACTCTTAAAATTTTATGCTTTATATCAAAGAGTAGGGACGTATAGATTGTCTACATTAACATGACATGCCCCTCCAACTTCTTCAGTATCAGTCCGTCCAGAGGAATATTATAGTATTAAACCTTGTAAATATTTTATTTCACACATTTTTAATTATTTTGATTTTGGAGAGGCGCTCCATGTTATGGTAGACAATCTATACACCTAATGATGGTCGTTAAGTAAATAATTCGTAATTATAGATTAAGGATAATACCTAGATGACGTAATCTTTTATTAATAAATATCTATCTTAAAAAAATAAGCGTTTAGCATACATTCGTGCGTTACACACATACACAAATAATAAATCACCTTGTATTCTATACAAATAAAGTTTAAAAGGTGCGAGTAGAATATTGGATGAATTTGATTGATTATCTATTTAAGCATTTAGGTACCATCTTACTACAAAAAAGTTAACAGAAACAAGTTACCATCTTACTACAAAAGAGTTGATGTTTTTTTATGAACGACAGTGGAATGGTTATAAAACCTGCGATGATAAGTGAGAATGAAAATACAGGTCAGTTGGAATTCAACACGATGATTTCCAGGGGGAATCACGTGGAAGTTTTAGTGAAGTTGTCATGATGAGCCAATTTCTTCGCCTATCATCTCACAGATACCTCGGCAGTAGATATAAATACCTAAATTGATCAAGTGCTTTACCATGTCATTTTCATTTAATTTAAAAAAAATACTTTAAATTAAAACCCAACTAGTAAGTTCCAATAACCCATATAGGTACATTGAATTAGATAGGTGTTGCCCCATACACACACACTGAAATATCTACCTATGTCTGTTGACTCTATGTTGTCATCTGTCATGCTAATTAATTAAACATCGGAAGTCGTAATGTTAAACCTCGAACTGTTGACTCGAGCATGTGTGAACTAAGATTTGTTTATCTTCTAAACAAAAAAGCAAATAACCCGGATAACTTAGTTGCAATATTAAGATAACTGCTACAGATTAGCCACTTCCGTAGCTTTAGTTATTATTTTTTACGAATTTAATTGCAGAAAGACAGATATACCAATTCTCCTCTTGCCTTGACCAGAATGTTAAAATCAACGTTGTTTCCTAACTTGTACATAGTTCCTAGTGTAGGTAAGCACTAACATATCCCAAAGGCTGGAAAGGATTGTTAGAAATGGGGTCAAATAGTGTCACTACTAGCAATATTTCGTATCAAGTCGATCTCCACAAGTTTCCCTCTGGAAATTATCGAGATTAATTGTAATTAAATTCGTCAGGATGAGCTAAATGACTTGCTTTCATCCGCGTCTGTCGTCTTTTACTGATGCCCCACCAATAGTACCTATACTAATAACGCAGGCGGGGTTAACATTCCATTTTCACCCATTACAAAAATATATCCCTAAGGGGGAAAAGGATTGTTACTAAAAGCCTTATTATTACCGATATACCTTATCAGATCGACCTCCACGCGGTACCTCGGATTTAAAAATAAATGTGACAACGTTTTGACAAAGACGGCATTTCGCAAGACTTTTATATTTTTTATTTTATTTTTATTATTATCAAAAAATTATCGGTAGGAAAAATTGCCTATTTTTCAATTTATCCCTACTAGACAGACAATGATATGGACAAGTGGAAAAATCCATTCTTACCCCCCAAGGAGAAAAGTTGGTAGGGACAAGTGGAACTGGCCATACCCTACGAACCCCAAAATACCAATAATATTATATAAATAAGATCGGATTTTTAAACATTTATGAAATATGAATACAGGATTATGTCCATGTGAAAATAATTATCTTGTATTTTAAAAAATTGATTTGTTAAATAATATAAATTTATTATTATTAATGGAATATTTTTTCAATGACGATTTTATTAAATGTAAATTATCTACAAATTACGCCATCTAAACTTATTGTACTGTAACTCTAAACAAGGAAATACACAGAGCAAGTAATGGGTAATCCACTGGGCAAACTAAAGAAACATTGAAGTTAACAGTAATTTTTCAATAGATGGCGCTATCACAATATTACATAATTTGATTACAGAATACAGAATTCCAGTAGATACTATGAGGAAATGACTTTTTTATTGAAATTACCAAGTTCATAAATACACTAGGTAAAACTGTTTAGGGACTTGGTAAAATTCTGCCCCGCAAGAAACAACAAAAAACGCATATGCTAAATTTATTTAGCAACACGCATTTTTTGCTGTACAAAAATATAACGGCATCTTCAGTTACAATAAATATGTATATGGGACTAACATGGAAGTAAACCTTCATTTTTTGCAAATATAAATAAAAATTGGTTCAGTTTTATGTGAAAATATCACGTACTTACCGATCTATAAAAAAAAGATGGATTAAAAACATCCTCCTATTTATATTAAATGATATTAAAAGTAGATAGGTACTTAATAATTTCATATAGAAAATTAAAAAAGTAAACAACTTGTAAATATAGTACATATACTGTTAATTGAACAGTATATGTACTATATTCTGCGGGTCTACCATGAAATGAAATTCCGAAATTTCAGACTCAATTTCGTGTTTTTGTTTATACCAAAATCGGACCAATAAATGGAGTTTAACATTTCGTTCGTCATACATTCTATCATAATCATAAAAGTCCAAAGGAACAATATTATAACATTTTTAAATATTTCCAAACGGTATGTACCTATTATATAATATTAACATGAAATTTGTGCTTCGTTTGGCTCCGAAATTTCGAAAAACATTTCATGGTAGGCCCTCTTTTACCATATATTATATCGTAAAGGTAATATCTCGTACAATATCGAGTCGTACTAAAGTGCTAACGGTACATTAGAAGAGCCCGTTATACGTAGCTTATACCATAAATTTAAATACATTATAGATTATATGCTAATTAAACTTTATTATGAATTAAACATGATTTTTCGTCTATATGCCTAATTTTAATAGCCACTGTCCACACTAGATCCAAAACTTCGAAATTAAGTCCGAAGTATAATTAAATACACACAACCTTAGTAATATTATGTAAGTTTGTTAACCTCTTGGCGCTTTAATTGTGAAATTTGATAGATATACACCAGATATACGGCAAAGGAAAACATAGACTATGCAGGCCATATCGACGAAGTCACAGGTAAAGGTTAATTCTGATTAATATGGAACAAGGTTCTGTTTTATATATTAAATAATTTGTTCAATTACAATCTTGTCACTAAGAACTATTGCTAGTAACTATGTATTTCTATACCTACTTAGACATACTAGCTGACCCGGCAAACGTTACTTTGTCCAAATTCCACTTTTTTTTATTCTTTACGAACTTTAATCGAACTGTTACGAAATAAAACAACGTTATCAAAAAAAAAAAAAAACGAATGTGTTTAATAATAAAAATTTACAATCATAATAGGTAGATATTATAAGTGATGTATGCATTAAAATCGATCGCTTAAATAAATACCATTTTCTTTCTTTTACAAATAAACAACTTTCACAGACAAATGAAACTAAATACAAGTTATAACTAATACTACTAAGTACAATTAATTATTTAATACTTAATTTTCAAACATATAAGTTAATAGGTACCTAATGTACTGTGTACATTTTACAAGCGATGAATACATCAGCTTCAATAATTAGCATTGTAGGATATCGTCACATCAAACATTTTTATTGAAAATTTAAGAAGTTAAACGTAAAAAATATTAAAATAGTCACCATCTATAGGTGGATTGTAAGCTTTTCAAATCTATAGATAGACAGCTAAATAGTTATGTAATATATATTTTTTTAAATTATCAATTTTGTCGTTGATATAGTTTTTCTATTCTCATCCTTAAATGGTGATATTTTGATCGAAAACCTTTATAATATATATTTACTCAATTAAAATTTTAAATATTAAAGATTAGAATCTATTCAAGAAAGAGAATACAAAAGTGATTTAAAAAAATGAGTCGGTATGTCACAGTTGCGATTATTGTATTTTATAAAATATTTTTTTGAAAAATAGAGCTATAAATGTAAATTATGACTGAATATTTCAAATATTTCTTCAAAGTTAACATTATTACAAAAACTTGTAGAAAACGTTAACAAAATAAAAATTTAAGTGTTCTTATTAAATAATTTATAAACATATGCTCTTAAACATATTATTTACACTTAATATGTTTTTACATAATGTGATGGTGGTGACGGAGTGAGAATACTATGTCGCACCACTCCGTTCTCGCACATCTCCAATTAATTTTAATATTAAAATTACGTAAAAGGCGACTAGAGGAAGCACAGTATATACACCAAAGGGCTCGGTGTAGGGCTCTATATAGAATTTGCCTTATCTAGCATTGCAAGGCTAAACAAAGCAAATTCTATATAAAGCCCCACACCTAGCCAGCTAGCAGCGTGGCAGATATTATCCTACAGTTATAGATTGTTCAACCCATATACGAGCAATCGCTTAATGCTTTTAAACTTGTAAAAAAATTTCGATGTTTGAATTTCATCAAATGATGACTGTAATTAATTACTGTTAGTTAAGATTATTTATAAAGCATGGATAAAAAAAAAGGTAAGAAAGAAATATATCGAAGGTGAATCAATAATGTTAAAAGAACACATCCTACAAGGACGAAACTCGACCAAATATGTAAGGTGCTAAATAAGGTGACAAGTTAACAGTAGATACTTGTGGCCAACTAGCTTTTATGAACAGAATGATAATTGTGATAAATAGATATGTGATGATCATGTAACATCTCCTTACTCTAGAATAAAATTTGCTACATACTTAAAGTCTCCTTAAAAAGCCGGACAACCCTCGAAGAAACCATGTTAGTAAATAAAATAGAGAATACTATTTCGACGGTCATCTTACTCATTACAGTATAATATGTTGTGGTAGCAAAATTAATTACAATAGTTAATAAATCACAGGTACTACAATAAAGTACCTACAATTACACTAAACAATAATTTACAATATAATCTATAATAAATTTCTTCTTATAAATATATCTATATTAGTACCTACAATGTGAAAATTATTATTGCCTGATACATTAGATCAGTTAGATGTAACTAATTCCATTTACTAATCATTAATTAGGATTTTGCAGTCAAAGATAACTGTAACCAAGAAAAAGTTCTGACTGAAATATAATTATTAGGAATATACTTCATTATTTTTGCCTCTACTACTATATTATACTAGCTGATATATTGTTAAAATAACATTGACTTCATTGTACTTGAGTCTTACTTTAATATACATCAGTCTTTGACCAATAATTTAATAAATATGTAAAGTTTAAATTGACCATGTGCAAAATAATACAAACAATAATAAATACTACCAGTCTTCAAATTTTCTTCTGCTCCTTCAGAAGTTTATTATATTCATCCCTGACAGTCTTGCACTCAATCTGGAGATCTTCAAATTGATTCTACACAAATGTAAAAAATATTCTTAATAACTTAAAAGTAATTCATAAATAACCTAAGGAATTATTTTGGTTATACCTATTTGTTTTATAATATATCCCTTCACAACATGGCAACATACTAACTGTTTCCCATGGCTTTTCTTGTGAGATTCAGTATATAAAGTATCTTATATATATATATATATATATATATATATATATATATATATATATATATATATATATATATATGCGTGCATTTTTAATTTCAGGTATAAGTTTAGGAGCTAGCAATTCTTAAATGATCCCAATACCTACCTGGCATATGGCAGTCTGTTGTTTCATTGCAACACAGCTTTCCATTATTTCCTTAAACTTTTCCTTCTCTGTTTCCTGTGCCTTCTGTGTTTCTGTGAGTAATTTATCTATACGATTTTTATACTCGGTAACCACTGAAAATGTATTATATTCACAATGTAATAATTCATTAGCTAATTTACTTACTTATTCTTAATAAAATTGTAACTGAACAATGTCTTTACATGGGAAACATTTGAAAAACATTAATATGAGGGCTCTTAATAAAACCCATAGCTGCAAAATAATAGTGTTTCGAATTTTTGTCTATCTGTCCATATGTCTGTATATTTGTTCCGGCATCATGCAAAAACAAGTGCAAAAAATGGATGCGGTTTTCACAGTTGTTTTCTTGAAGATCTAATTAAAATCTTATGGATTTTTTCTACTTTTCAAATCCACTTGTATGAAACAGAGGTAAAACTAGTGTCTTTAAAAAATACAATATTTTACCATTCAACTGATATTTAATTGATGTCAACTCAGAAAAACATCTTTGTTCTGACCACTCCAAACTATTATCTTCTTGTAAGTATTTCATATATAAATATACTAAAGTAAAAGCTACTAGTAAAATAATAAACAACATAAAAAAATTATCCCTGGACTTCGATAGTGTACGTGATATCATCGTATCGATAAAAAAAAGATAATAATTATGTATAACCAAAAGGATATAGAAAAACACAAATTTTTATTTTTATAGAAAAAAGTTTTTGTAAATTTCATAGGTATAACAACCAGAATTAAACCAAAACAAATAAATTCTATAAACAATTAATTAAGATAATTCAAAGCAAAATGATATTTTTTTATTTGTAATTCAACACTATTTTCCCTTCAAAATAGATATATTTATCGCTTGTCCATTTGTAATTCTGTTTGTCCTTTGTATATGTCAGAGAAAAAAAAACATTGTGATCAAAACTGTCAATGTCAAAATAGTACAGGAAAAATTCCAGACAAATTATCTTTTTGAAGACTAGGCAGCATGGTCTCCGACCTTAGCCTGTTCCAAACGGAACAAACGTACTAAAAAAAAAAAAAAAAAAGTACAGGAAAAATGAAATGAAAGTAGAAAAAATTGCTTGTAAAAATCTAGTTCTAGTTTAAAATCGTTTTTCGCATACAATTGAAACACTATTACAAAAAATTTAAAATGACTATAGAAACCTAGATTACACTGTACCTGTAATAATTCAACAGAATTTGATATTTCTTTTAACATTAAACAGATAAAAAATTAACCAAAACATGATAGGTTCAAGATAGGGTATATTTGACCTCTTTAAAGGAAAAACACCCTCGTATGATTTTTCCCTGGTCTATGTTATTTTGAAATTTATATAATTTTGTTACTTCTTGACTAATTCAGAAAAATCAAATACTACTATGAAGTAAAAACATAATTTTTTATAATAAGGTTATTCCTAAACTCTATAACACTGCATATAAAAAAAAACTTTTTTTCATTTAATAATTTTTTACTTTTTCATTTTATGAAATTAATAATAACAATTTTTTGTTCTTGGCATGTTAAACTGGTTTATACTTATCGAAAACAAATTTTATAATAATTCATTAAGATTTTGTTAATTAATAAAAAAATAGAAGTATTTAAAAAAAAATTTAATGTAAATTTACATATTTAAAAAATTTCCTTTACAAAATGTTTGTATTAATTTATTAGGCACACAAAGTTAAACAAATTTTATGAAAATTATAGAATATCTGGCCACGTAAATTTGTACTTTATAATTATATGGCATATTACAGAAGTGCAAATATATTCTAATGCTAGTTTTTTTTAGAATATAGTAAATACTCGTATTTTTTATTAAATATCTAATATAACTATATTAGAAATAAATTAGAAAAAATAATTACATAAGAAGAAAGTAGAGACTTTAATCTTTTAATTTTCGTAAAGATAAACAATTGATATAATTCAAATAAAAATTTAAAAGTCAAAATATATATATATATATATATATATATATATATATATATATATATATATATATATATATATATATATATATATATATATATATAGCTTTTCATTAATATTCATAGTGTCCGCCGTTTTTTTAAATATGCATGATGCTTTTTAAATTCAAAAATATCTATGAAGGGCGCGTAACAAATAATTCAGTGTATGGATTGTTTTGCATATTATATTTTGATCATTGTTAATAAAATTAAAATTAATTAAAAACTTAAACTTATTGATTATCGTGTCAAATTTTTCTATTCAATACATATTTTTTTTATATATATATTTACTATAACTTTTTTTATGTTTTCATACGTATTACTTAGCGACATGTTGAATATTGCAATGTATCAATTTTTTTTAATTTATCATACATCATTAATTTTAGTTTTAATGGTTTGGTTTCAAGAAGATCGACATTAATTTAATTGGTGTAAAAGATATTTTTTTTTAACAAGTTTAGAACTCTGGTTACCTTGGTTCCGTTTCAAAACGCATAAATCTATTATTACAATGTGGGTTTGTGCCTGATTTATCTTATTTAAAATATCTAATTAAATTTTTATACTATATGCAAGGATTATCCTTAATCTGTGCCGCAGGTCTATCCTTATCAATGATTTTCTCTCATAACAGCGCTATTTGTGATCCATGGCAGAAGACAGAACTAAATTCATAATAATAATTTTAATTTTTAAAAACATTCTGCAGAGGCAACTTAAAGGGCTGCTTTATTATTATGTCTAGAACGAAATGTAAAAAAAAATAATCGACGGCAATTAGATTAGGAACTCATCTCTTATGTAATTCTCAGCTGTCATAACCAAATAATAACTGATTACTAATTTTATAAAGGATAGATACCATAAAAAGAGAATGTTAGATACCATGTTTAATCTAAATAACATACTGAACAAAAACTACATGAGCTGACTATAGTGTTGCCAGATTATGTACTTATGTCACAATTTTGGATAATTTTTTTGTTAGCAAAATTATGAAGAATATTTTTGAGAAATTTTCAGAGAAAAGTGAAATGGGTTTAGAGAATTGTGGGCGATTTATTTGGACAGAAAGAAGAAACCTCTTTACCACTTTTTTAAGAATAAGCTTGGTTATAGCTAAGCTATAGTCTTTTGGAAATACCTTGACCTCCTCATTATTATACTCTTTAGATTATAAAAAAAAAATTAAAATCAGTCTACAGTTGACATAGTAAACATACATAAGTAAATAATAAACATTAGAACTTAGAATGTCCTCTTTTTTTAATTTGGTTAATAATGTTCACAAAAGAAAATCGTTGAATTTATTTGGACCTTTTTAGCACTCTAACAAATAGTTTTTTCCGTGTCTTTATAGTACATATCATTTGTAGTTTATTCTTTTAAGTAACAGTAAAAAATAACAATAATAAATATTGGCCAAACTTTTGTATGACACTCGATGATTGTTTACTTTAATGTGATGTCATTAATGTCATATTGCTCAAAGTTACGTTTCTACAGTTTAATCTCATTTTCTTTTTTATTTACTATTTTTTTAAGAAATTTTTATATAAACGTAACTACTTTTTTAAAGTTCTATAAACATCAATAAAGTATTTTTTTAATATCTACAAATAATTAAAAAATTGACACAATTCTATTTTTTTATAATTTATTTAAGTTATGGATATATAACGTATACATCATAATCTAAAATTTAAGCATTCATATATGTGGTACTTAAAAATGGGTTCCGTTAATTAACATACTGTATAAATATAATAAAATATTAAGATGAAAATAAAACAAAAGAACGAGACGGTAAAATAAACTACAAGTAGAAATGAAAGGAAGGCATTTTTTGTATTTTCTTACCGTTATTTATTTTGAGGTATATAACAAAACAAGTCGAAAAGCAATACAAATTTGTAATTAGGTAAAATTATATCGATTCGAAAAAAATATTTGATATTTGGGTAAAATTCAAAGATCGCATCTGGTAACCCTGATTGAGTCTACCTGCGTTTGAGCACTCGCTGTTTATCGTTCTCTTGCTTCTATCTTATTAATTCATTAATCTGCTATTGCAGCATTGTAAACGCTCGTGCTTTCAAGTTATTTATGTCTATAAATTTATTTTAACAATTAATTTAATCAATTTTATTTTTAATAAATTGTTTATATTTGTATAAACTCTATATTTTTTTATTTGTAACATAATGTTGAAAGGTGGCGTATAATTGTTAAAATAACGGGTACTTGTTACAATACCTGTCTGCGCATTTATTTGTGCAGCTCACGAGTACCTATTGCCGCTTCTCATCTATTTTAGTGACTTATAAGGTATGATATTTTATTATTTTGGTAATTTTATCATCTTTTACTTCTATTTTACTTTAAAAGTTAAAAGCTAAAGTCACGGCAATATATAATATTTAAATGTATTTAACATGAAACATTTAAAAATGCTAATTTCTAATGATGATTATTATATTGTCAAGTCTTAACTGTTGTTCTATTAACAGTTAACACAACCGTCTTTTTTTGTTACGTGGGTAAACTTATACGTAGAATGCGGTAACGTTCCCCGGATTAGACTTTGACACCTCTTATTTCTGTGTGCGTGTGCTCTTGCGAACGCGTATTTATATCCTGTTTAATGCGAATGTATTCGTGTATACAACGATTTCTCCTAGTGCTTACTGCCTCTACTCAATGTTAAAAAAGTGAAATTTATTTTTAAACTTTATCAATATTTTGTTTTATATCAGAAATTTAGAATTGCTCATTTCTGGTACGTATTTAGTAAATCTAAACTGTTAACAGACTAACATAAATCTGTCTAGAAAGAGAAATGTCTAACTACCTACAATATCAAGTAATAACAAGCATAGGTACATCCATAAAACACTAGAAAGTTGTAGTAACATTCTCCATAATTATAAAGGCTGGATAAATATTTTTTAGATTAACTAGAATTTTATTGTAACTAAGAACTAGTTTGTCGAATATTGTTCTTAACTAAAATGTAACTAAAGATATTTTTTATTGATGTAAACTTAAATTTGAGCATTTTTGCATAATAGCTTTTTAACATTTTACTGCCCAATTTAAAAAACAATTTCGACAAAAGTTTCTTAGTAACTGAAAAATTGTTATAGTAAATTATAAAAATCAACAATAACCTTCATATCTGTATTTCATATTATTGTATATGTGCTCACTAATTATGACTACAATACACACAACACACTTAGTTATTATGTATGCAAAGACATTGAACAAAAAACTTATCAATTAATCGTAGATGACATTGTTTTAATTGAGTTGTTACATATTTTGCTTATATTTTGTGCTGTCATGGCTGGCCTTAGAATAATATTTAAATTAGATAATCATGTATGATGATGATTATTATTATTAGTGATTATTTCTTAGCACAATATATAGTGCAAAATTTTTTCCTATAGATTTGCTATAAATATTTTTCAATAGAAGCAAATCACTTTAATATTTATTAACATTAAAATGTTTCCTTCGAGCCATCTTCATCTTTGGACATACAATTTGTCTTTAAGGCAGTTTTGTGTAATTACATATCATAATTATGTCTTGCAAATATCTTTGGGTGATTTTCGAGTCTTATTCAGCATATTTATGTCGTTTTTTGTAAAATATTCCAAAACATAATTTCTTCAATCAACCACTAATAAAAAAAATTTTAATCAACTATGTGGTTTTTTATTTATTACAAAATTTCTATACATAATATTTACTTTGCCTTATATTTTTTACTTAAAGTTTACTTTGTGTGTGCTAAAAAAAATATTATAATTTTCTTATGCTCTGGCATTATGCTTTGTTCTATTAGTTACCTTTTACCAGCATACTGGTTTTTGGGGCTTTGAAAGTTCATTGTATCCTTACTCTGTCACTACACTTTATATCATCATATCGTCATAGCAGCCATTAAGTGTTTACATTCCCCATAACTTTGTCAGTCGTTGCCATACTTGGCATGTGGATTGTCAACCACAGTTAGGCTTTGGTGATATTTTAAGAGGGATGCTGCTGCCCATCCCTCAACCATTAAGTTTACTAAGTTCCCATGTGAAAGGATGGGGTGCATTCTATGCTGGTATGACATGGTGCATGACAACACTACATGATTAATCATGAAAATTGACAGATAATGTAGACTATGATATGAATTCCCATAAGCTTATTATAATATCAAATAGTTCATACTATAATTAAATCTTAAAAACATAAACTCTTCTACTCTTGTTAAAAAATACAATTGAATATAATACCTATTTATTTAATAGAAGTTACTCTCAATAATTTTTTATTAAACTTATGTAAGTTTGGGTAATTTATGATAATGATTCTGGTCTTTTATACTTTTGAATGTATGTATGTACATTTACTTATTGTATTTTAAATGCTGTTGGAAGAGTATTGCTATGTAATTTGATATTACTTAAACATTTTGTTATAGTGTGACTGCAAAGCGATTTGTCATTTCAAAAAAGCTCACAGTTCACATTGAAAAATGTAGTACTATTGTAACAGACAACTGTAGCCCTATCAATTAGGATATAATATATCCTAGGTTTTAAATCAGAATGTAGTCTTCAGTGGCATTTACAATGCTTTTTATAATTAATTCCCAATATCAATTCCTATTTGGTTAAATTTAGGAGTAGAATTCTTCTAAATTGGCTCAAGTATTCTGGATTGCAACCCGAGATATTTGTTATCTGATTTCAGATAACACAGGCTACTCTAATTCGATAATTGGGCGATGGCGAATTCGTCAGGCACTTATCTATCGCCTATCCCTGTACTAAATTTCATTCAGATATATTCAAGCGTATAAACATGATTTTAGCATACTTTGAAGCAATTTCGTTTTGAACAAAGTTGCTGAAATGATAATGATGATAATTAAAATTATCAGTAACTGCGTTTTTATGTATCCCACATAAGATATGGGAGCACATACACATCTAAAATCTCTTTTTATTCCCTGATTTGATCTTATTAACACCTTTTTGAAATATACGAAATATAAATAAACCTTGAAGGTTAAATGTTCAAAATTTCGTGATTCTAGTGACTCTGCTGTGCTTTAGTCCTCCTTTTATATAGACTAGTCGTTTCTCTTGGCTTCAGCTGCACCTAACTCATTACATTAGCCTTATGACTATATAAAAGAAGCCCTTTTTATTACTTATTTAGTTTGTACCTATATTATATGTCTGTGTAAAGTTATATATAGTACTAGTCAATAATTTCGGCTGTGAATAAATTAGTGTTGTGTAATAACTATCCTGTGTTGTATAAATAAGGAGGCCTTTTACACAATTTTTTTCTGCTTGCCCTGTAGAGGGAATGGGACGAATAGACAGAGTAGTAATAAAGGTAATATGACAAACAACAACTTACATTATATTTTATTGCCATGCCTTTTTACGTTAAATTAATAAAGTGTTTTATCTTCATTATCCAATCATACATATAAAATACCAACTATAATTAATTCGCTTTAATTATATAAATGCCCTTGTATAGTTACAAATTACTAGCAAAGATACATTGTCAACTTTTAGGACAAGCAGAAACACGTCAAATTCTAGGGTTCAAACAAACTTCTCGCTCGCAATGTATTTTTAATTGTTACTACAATGAGCAAAAATAAAAATAGATTTTGCATTGCAGGTGCGATAATTCATAATGGCGGAAGCGCATTCAGCAGTGGCGTTTTCATTTGCAATTACGCACGATGGTTGGGATGTAAACTTTGACCGTGAGGTCCTTTACTTAGTATGGGAATCTGGCGTCAGGTCCTGGAAGAAACGTCTCGTAAGATTTAGGGTAAGTAACTTTTTTCTATCTGAGCAATGTTGATGTTGTAAATCTCTTTCTTGGATCTAATCCGGCAGTGTTATAAAATTACTGCTCAAAAGTTATAACAAGAAAATCTTAAATGAAATAGTAGTTATCTCTAATAGAACTTTTCTATAGGTAAATTAATATTTAAAATTGGTTAATTAGTTTTAAAATAAAAGAAAAGGATTTTCATATAGCAGCCATCAACTTTCGTTCCCTTAGAACCCCAGAAAAGCTACAGGAACTAGAACTGGTAATAGAAGAGATAAAATTGGATTTTATTGGCATCAGTGAAATGAGAAGATTTGGAGAAAGTATAAAGAAATATAAAAATTATATATTATACTATAAAGGAGAGACACCTAGGCTGTATAGAGTTGGTTTCCTTGGTTGGGTTGGATTACAAGAAATTTTATAAACAATATCGAAGACTTACCCATAAATGGAGAAACGGAAAAAAAAAATGGTGTATTATCCAAGCGTATTCGCCAACGGAATCGGAAAAAAAAGGAACATATAATAAAAATCGAAAAATTCTATGAAGATTTACAAAATACAATTGAAAGAGCATATAAAAACGTCATTTTAATAGGCAAATCGGAACACAATAGAGAAGAAAATACCATAGGAAGACATGGGTTTGGCACGAGAAGCAAAAATGGCCATGGATTTCGCCCAATGGACTTTATAAGAACGAAATAGACTATATTATGTCCAACAATAAACAAGTTTTCGAGGATATATCTATTATACGCAATCTAAACTTTAATACAGACCACAGAACGATTCGGGCTACATTGGCAGGAATACGTCCCAAGAAAACAAGATGATTTCACATTAGGTATTTAATACATAGGCGACCCGGAACAATTGCTTAAACAACCTCCAAAAATCTCTAGACGACAATGAACTTATGGGAAAAGAAGGTACATCAATACAAGAAAAATATAATAAATTATTAAACCAACTAAAATTCATAACTAGAAAAACAAACACAATTAGTAAGGAAAAAGTCTCATTTGTCATAAAACCATTACTACAGTAACGAAAGGAAATCTTATCAAAAAAAAAAAAAAAAAACAGATAACCACCAAAAAATAACAGTAATAAGTAAAATGATTAGTCATCGAATTAGGAAAGAAATTAAAACAAAACAGTTAAATATGATAAAAAATTATATAGTCATATCAGTTATATCATATATATATATGATGATATAACTGAATAAATCAGGTCGATTACTTAGCTCATTGTAGTAAATTCGCAACATCACGATGGTCTCGAGAGGAAATCACATGTAGGTTCACTCGATACTGATTACTAATGTCGCTACTATTTTCCAATGCCACGATATATTCTAATGTATATGAACAAGTTGGTAACGATTACCATTATTAACTTACTCACATTAGTCTTATATATTTCTCCGTCTGAGAGTACAGTCGTGAGTATATTTTATATCGAATCGCGTTAAAAGTAGTCGACTAATTTTCTTTATTATTTCACAGAACAGTGTACACAATGGAGTATATCCTGGACATTTGCAATCCCTTTATGTGTTATGGACATTATTGGTTGCTGCTCATTTCGGTGGCATCAATATACCATTCAACTTAGTAAATAAAGCTTCAATAATCCTACCCGGGTATGTACAGTTTGATAGTAATTATATGTGCCTAATGAGCAATATCATTATCCATCAAGTAGATTCATAGCGACAATGTTCTAATGCGCTTTTTCGCTTATCATAACTGGTAATGTTATGTATATCACTAAGCATAGCAAACAAGCTGATAGTATACCTGATGAAAAGTGGAAACAATCTTCGGATATTACTGAAGATTAAAGTTGTCTCTTATATCAACATATCCCTGCCACGGCTCCTTCAAAAATTAATTAAAATCAGGAATATGTATTGCTATAGACGTATTAAATAGAGATACTTATTATGTACATGTATAAAATTATATGAATACACCATAAAAACATCGCGTGGCTACATCCATCGATCTATTTACATACATTACTACCTAACTTAGAAGTTTATTTTAAAATTATCATATATATTTTTATAAATAAGTGCAGGCTTTCAAATATTTTTAGTTTATACATGGTTTTGTTTTAGCGACTCAACTATGTGGCAAATCATTGCTTGCTTATTAGCAGCTCTCACAATGTGGCTTTCTGTTATATTCTTTATGCGGTATCTTCTCAAACTGCTGCTGATATACAAGGTAATGTATTAACTGCTACAAGTTTTTATCATCAATCAGTTACAATCTATCAATATCTACACGCTAGGATAGTTAGACGTAGGCTAGTACAAAGCTGATGTTATTTTTTTTTTCTAACATGATTTTTACATGCCAGTTATATAGAGCAAATGCGCTAACAAATTCCTGAGTCCCTCTTCAGGAATACAACTGTAATAACCACATTCAAATTAATTGTATTTAGTATTTGCGGAAGAAACATAAAAAAAAAACCAGACAAACACAAAATTTCTAAAGACTAATATTGTAACGTCTCTTAGTCTCATTAAGACCCCTGTTTACAATTTTATTATATTAGTAATATTTTTTTTATACAACTTAGAATGGCAAACAAGCTGACGGCCCACCTGATGTAAAGTGGTAACCGTTGTCTATAGACATGAGCAGTACCATGGACATAACAAAGTATACTGTTTCGCCCATGATACGCCCCATGCGTTGCCATTCCTGAGAAAGGAAGTCCTTTTATTAATATTCATTAAACGTTGCAAGAAGTAAAAAAAAATACATTCTAAGCTGACGCTGTGTCAGCATAATACCATTTCATCACATTGTCGAATAATTGAAAAAATATTGAATGATTAAAACAAACAGTAAGATAGTGTTCGTCATTTACGGAAAAGTGGTATGTAAATTCTATAATGGTGACAGCGTTATCTCTCTAGGTTTCATTTTCGGCGCACTTGCAATATATCTACTTTTACTTTTTATTATAATATCACTCTATTATAATAAAACCTTTTTAGGGTTGGATGTATGAATCCAGATCACCTGGTGCTAAAATATCTAGAAAAACACTGCTGTGGATAGCTGTTGTAAAGGTGCTCTCAGGGTGGAATAAACCAAAACTGTACAGTTTTCAAGGATCACTGCCAAGGCTTCCCTTACCTTCCGTTCGAGATACCATGAAACGGGTGAGGAACTCAGGATTAACATAAAGCACTCAGTAAAATAAATTAATTAGATTTTATTTCAAAATAAATTTACATTATCGAAGGATGACACGAATTTTAAAATATTACAAAATGTATTTATAACTCAATCGTGCTTAAATGATTGAAAAGATTTGTAACAATTATCAAACGATTAGCATTCGTAATATGAAATTGAACAAATTTCTCCATGATACATAATCATAGTACATACCTTTGGAAAAATGCTGTTTATAGTAAGAAATAGGGATTATTTTAATTTTCAATCAACTTTAAACAGAAGGAGGTTTTTGTTACCTCCTAACTCCATCAATTGTAAATCAATTTGGAAAATCCTTTTTTTTTTTTAAATATATTTACAGAATGGTCCCATAGAAATTTTATCAAAATCGATTCCGTAGTAGTAATAGTAGTTTTTAGATCAAAATAACTTTGTTAGTTTTGTCCCAATTGAAATAGGTTTTTTTTTTCTTCGGATACAATCTTTAATTATATTTTGATAGCCAAATCTTTTTATTTATTTTGCAGACAACTGATTAAATAATTTTAATTTTTGATAATTTCAATATTGTGTAGTCAAGTGTTATGAAGTTGATATAAATAGATAGGTACATGATTGTACTTCGATTAAGAGTCCAAGATAACTATTGTTTTGCAAGATTTGGTCATAACTTAGTGGCGGGGAGCATTTACACACCGAACTCTTAAATATAACTATAAGACAGCTTACACTCGCATATTATTTTTCTATTTACATATTTCGACAATATCATTTGAGAAAAGTTTGTTCACTTTCATGGGGAGTTACGATTTAGTATACGTTATCTTTTATAACTAAACCTATACACAGTTATATCAGCTAAACTTTTTTTTTCCAGTATCTTATTAGCGTTCGCCCATTATTAGATGACGAAAACTTTCAGAGAGTTGAAAAACTAGCAAAAGAATTTCAAGAAACAATAGCTGTTAAGCTCCAGCGATACCTTATTTTGAAGTCATGGTAAGTTTTTACGTTATCTTTACACAAAATGTTATAACATTTTTAATTTTTTTATATATAGTAGAGAATAAAAATAATAATATATCTATTATCTATTGCATAGACTTGTATGAAAAATAATAGTTCCATAAAATATTATCATAATATTATATATAGTTAATTTCTGTTACAAATAAAACAAAAGAAATATTATATTTAAATTCATATTGCTTCATTTATTAGATGTGCTGGCTACCTTGTTGTCAGTATTAAGTACATTGTAACAAAATATCCAGTGTACAAGTAAAAATCATATACTAAATTTTAGGTGGTCCAGCAACTACGTGTCTGATTGGTGGGAGGAATATGTGTACCTACGTGGTCGATCACCTCTAATGGTAAATTCAAACTTCTATGGGATTGATGCTATCCTATTAAGACCAACTAAGATACAGGCAGCGCGCGCAGGCGTCGTCATTCATCTTTGTCTTAAGTTTAGAAGGCTTATTGATAGACAAGAATTGGAACCGGTACGTATAATGCTTGTATTGTACAAACACGTGATAATGTCTTAATAAATATGAATATTGACGTTTAGCATTTATTCTGTCTAGCCGTACGATTACTATTATCAATATGTTACTAATTATACAACAGATTATGAATGTAATTAATAATGTAATTATAAATTGTAATACCATATATTCTATATTAAACACACGATAAGGAAGTTCTTTATTTGTCCTTATTTTGATTGCGATAGAGATATAAATTTAATAATCAATATCAATGATAACAATACACACCCTCTTTAATTATTCTTTCAATAGATAATGCTACAAGGTATGGTGCCACTATGTTCGTGGCAATATGAGAGATTGTTCAACACGGTCCGTGTGCCTGGAATTGAAACAGATAAAATAGTGCATTATGAGGACTCATCACACATTACTGTATACCACAAGGGGAGATATTTCAAGGTCATTGTGTACTCCAGAGGACGTTTGCTGCAACCCGCAGAAATACAAGTGTAAGTTTTAATTATTACATTAAACTAACTGTGTTATGGATGATACACATGATTTTTGAAGTGAACTCTTAAACAGGGCCCTCCAACTAACAAATATCTCTATATTCTACGCTACTAACTAGTCTGGCCATAAAGACTGTTACATAAATAATTTAATTTTTTTCAACTTTTTATTAATTTGAATTTGGAACATGTTTATTATTTTATAAAATTCTTTCGATTCCGCGCCATTTTACATATTTTTCGTGTTGATTATCAAATTACAAAATGGAATGGGGTGTTAAAGAAAATAGAATTGCAGTGATCACCTTGAACAAAATGAGTATGAAGCCGTCGGTCATATTCCAGACACTTCAAAAACTTGGTATCAGTCGCAGTATGTTCGTGTATCGTAGAACAGATACAACAACACTTCCTCTGTCGAAGACCAGAAAAGATCGGGGCGGCCGCGTGCTGTTAGAATTACAAAGGCTGTTAATGCTGTTAAAACCAGAATAGTCGAAACTCCATTAGGAAGCAAAAAATCTTATCGCAAGAAATGAAGATTCCCGCTAGGATTCTGTCGCGTATTATGAAACAAGACCTGAAGCTCGGTGCTTATCGTCGATATACAGGACATACCCTAAATCAATCTTTACAATTCAAGAGAGACTTTCTGTCTCAATACGTAGGTGAAATATCCTCTCTACCGATGAAAAATTTTCACGATTGAAGAACATACAGAATATAAAGAAAATGATAAAATGTACGCTCAGAATTCTAAAGAAGCTGCTCAAGTGATCGGAAAGGTACAATGTGATCATCATCCTATATCAGTGATGGTTTGGTGGGCCGTGTCTTATCAAAAAGTCATAGAACTACATTTTTGTTAAAAAGGAGTGAAAACTTCAGCCAAAATGTGTCAAGATACAGTCTTGGATCGTGTTGTGAAACCTCTCAGCAATACATTTTTTAAAAATAGATCGTGGACTTTTCAACAGGTCTCTGCACCTGGTCACAAGGCACAAACTACCCAAGCCTGGCTTGAAACCAACGTTCCAGACTTTGTAAGAACTGAAGATTGGCCCTCATCTAGCACAGACCTCAACCCTTTAGATTTCAAATTATGGTCAGTTTTAGAGTGTTGATTGGTGTCGTGAAATGCATGAAAGATTTAACAGAGGTGACTCAAATTCTGTGTTTGACATAGTTATGGGAGATGAAAGCTGGATTTACTGTTATGATCCCGAAACTAAAAGACAGTCAGCTCAGTGGATGTTTCCTTCCGCGGAGTTGCCAACTAAAGTGAAGAGAGGTCGAAGCGTGGGAAAAAAGATGGTGGCCTCGTTCTTTGGAAGGACAGGTCATTACGCAACAATTGTTTTAGAGGATCGAAAAACAGTTACTGCAGAGTGGTACAGTAACAATTGTTTGCCAGTTGTTTTGGAAAAAGTACGTGAGAAACGACCTCGCAGCAGGATCCGCCTTCACCACGACAATGCTTCGTCGCACACCGCCAGACAAACAATCGATTATTTGGCGACCTCAGATGTAGAACTACTAGGTCATCTGCCTTATAGCCCTGATCTCGCACCTTGCAATTTTTATTTATTCCGAAAAATTAAAGAAAAACTTCGAGGAAAACGTTTTATGGAAGCCGAGGAAGCTGTTGCTACGTTTCAGAAGGCCGTTGAAGAGATCCCTAAGGACGAGTGGGCAAAGTACTTTTCTCAGTGGTTCTATTGGATGCAGCGATGTATTAACGTGAATGCGCATTATTTTGAAAAGATAAAATAAAGGTAAAAACCTGCAAATTTAATCAGTTTTTAATTTTCTAACGACTTTCAGTTTGACCCTCGTACTAGCAGACTAGTCTGTTGGTAAAATAAATATAAATGAGCATTATCTTACTATTAAATACACTACGTTTACAGACATCGACTTGAAGTCTAGGAGATAAGATAAAAGTAATCTATATGATTACTTATTATAGTATATTTAGCGTTGTCACGTGTATATAGTAATTTCTATTCGCCTATAAATATTAATTGCATTTACACTGAGTAAGCTTAGTATGTGAAACCTATATTTTTATATTATATGCTTTTATATTATGCAAAAACTTTTTTAAATAAGTACACATAAAATATATTTGATACGTCAATAAAATTACGAAAATACAATAGATCTAACTTGCAAGTACATTTTATTACACAAAAAGAAAACTGTATTAATATACCGATGAACAACATCTTGGATGTTTCGAAGACTCACGTGTTTGGAAATGGTGGATAAGTAGATATATAATTTAATTGCATTACACAAATAACAACAGATATAGTTAGAGATACACAAAACGAGATTTTTCTTTTCGTGCATGTGTGCATAGTAACACAAAATGGTCACAACTCAGTTTATTGCTTTGCCCTCAAAATACATTTATTTCAGTGCTGAATCGTATCTCTTTAAAAGTAGATTTTTTTATTGTAAAGAAAAACAGCTCAGTAGTAGTCATAAAAATTGGCATGAGACCAACACGGAAGTAGACCCAAAATATATTGGAAAAATAACTATCAAAAGCAGTCGCGTAACATAGTCACAAAAAATTACAGATGGATTGTTAACCTCCTTTTGGAATACCTATATTATATATATGTTCAACTAACGATACTTTATCAATTATCATAAAAAAATGCGAACAGTTATAAAAATCTTCCAGTACATTTCGTATAATTATCGAAAAATACCACTGATTCCTCCATTTATATACACAAATAGTATGTAATTTGTCCCATGTGATTGTAATATTGATTAGAAATTTTTAAGAACTTTTTTTATGAAATCTACTGTTTCAAGTCTAAAACTGGACTGAACCGACGCTACAGTCACAGACTACACACAATCACAGTTGCATGTAAACATTGTTATAGATGTTTGAGAACGTCATACGGAGGAATAGGGTTTCACTCGAAATTATGATTTGAAAAGAAACTAAGCGCCCAAAAATATATTAATATCTGTTATTGTAACGAAATAATCCAGAAACTTAACCCAGACCTCGTTTTTAATTGAAAGTACGTACCACGCAACGAGCATACGTGCGATGTGCAATTAAGACCGCTACGTTAGTAGAGTGCATTTATTAATTACGAATAGCAATCCAATTGAGTCCCTAAGGTCACTTTAAATGATGTCTAATTTACATACAATGCCGTAGTTATGTAATAAATATTATATCAGTCTACATATTATTTAAAGTCGTTCGTTTTCTTTTTGTAGTGTTACAATTAAATATTTTACAATCTTATTGCACTAATATTATAAATGTGAAAGTTTATAAAGATATATGTTTGGTAATTTGTTACACAATCATGCTTAAATGGCTGAATTAATTTAAATTAATTTTTATACGTGGATAGGTTATATCCAAACTTCTAAGTGAAGCAGCTAGTCATTACTATTTACTTAATTATAAATTTAAAAGTCAATGTTATTGGCTATTTTACTTCTTGGCATTTTAAAAGTTCAACCGATGGTCACTAAATTTGATGTGCATATTGTATTTGGTATTGAGAAGGGCATAGACTTTATCACTGTCTACCGATATACACCAGTCACGCTTTGTTCTACTTTATTATTATTTATATCTAGACAATGGACTACTCTAGCCAGTAATATGGAAATGTAATGAAATTCATTTTTATCCCACAGACAAATTCAACAAATCCTAGATGACGACTCACCACCCGCGGTGGGTGAAGAGAGACTAGCTGCGTTGACCGCGGGAGAGCGTACCCACTGGGCTCATATCAGGCAGACGATGTTCAATAGAGGACACAATAGAACTTCCCTGCATTGTATAGAACGTGCTGCATTTAACGTATGCCTGGGTATGTAAATCACACAGCCTCATAGTTCACAAATATTTTTCATTATCTTTAAAAGTTATTTGGTAATAAATCTCAGATGCATACGTCTCTTGCTTTATTTTCAGTTTTTATGTATTTATATAAAATTGAAATTTTCATTTTTTCCGTTATAGATAGATAAATACTCTTTATTGTTTCCTCCAAAAGATTACAATAGTAAACTTACATTGTATTTAAAAAAGATTAACGAGTGAAAGTTTTGTATTTAGGAACTATTATTAATGCTGACTTTTGCTACTTGATAGCAAATAGCATGTCAGATAAAAGTGCATTTAAGTCAACTGGCGATTAGGAAGCAATCGTGCTATGTAACACCATTTTTTTGTCAATTAGTAATGAATTGCGCAATGATTGCTGCCACAGGGAATCAACCTTCTGGTATCCTTTTACTTTCACAATCATATTTCTTCATCCTCTGATGGACCATTATTTCCAAATATGGGAATCATGAAACATGCCCATGGCATTTGTATCTGTTTATATAGATAAGAGATTAAAGTACAATATTAAAGTTAAATTACATTAATTATATTTAGGACACTTTTTTACAATAGTTCTAAATATTTATACATTAGTTATTTCATGAAAAAATATGTTGTTGTTGTTTTTATTTTGTATTGATCTTTCATGCGTAATGTTATTGATAGTCCGCTAAGTAATATATAATTTGACATCCCATTATCATTAGTTATTAGAAGAATGCCTCGGCCTTGACTATAATTAATTTATCTATCTTCTAGTCAGGTTCCGGCCCTGACCCCATATTGTTTATTTCGGCAACGAGGATCAAGTTCCAATGTCCCCTATTCTTACACTATATTTGACCCTTCTCTTTTTAATTTATACACCAACACTTGCAAATCTTATCACCAATACTAATGTGGTAATTGTGTCGTAAAAAAAAAAGAAATCGGTTCTTTAATGTAATTATAGAATTTTATAACACATGATAATATAGTTCTAAATACTCGGTCAGTAGCTTGATTTTCACAAGTGAAATCACATAGGTCGTCAGATGATGATGTCTGTGATGTTCATTGTCTTCATGTCTTTAACCGACGGTTATCACTTTCCATTAAGTGAATCTTTGTAGCTTGTTTGGTATTCCAAGTTGCATGATGAAACTAAGTGAACTTTTTATTCAAATATAATATAACCGAAGAGTTGCTAAGTGGAAAACTCATGAATAGCTGAACCGTTTCTATACATTTTTAAAATCTAAAAACTATTTCAAACATAATTATGTTACTAATATTACGAATATACAATATATATAGGCCCATTGAGGTTTACTAAATCAGCGGACGCAACAATAAATCCAATTTGTCATTTTGTGTTACAGATGACCAAGAGTATGGTTATGATGAGAATGATCCACCCTCATTGGACAGGTATGGGCGTATATTGCTACACGGAAAAGGCCACGATCGTTGGTTTGACAAATCTTTCAACTTATGCTTCAGTAAAACTGGCTTTGTGAGTATTTCATATTATTCTTTTCAATTACAATACTTATTCCTAAAACTAAACTCGTGTAATAGCGGAAAAATGTAAATCCATCGTTCTTTGTACTTTGTTGTATTTTTATACGACTTCTCCAACAAGTGGTTGTTCCCAATCGGTCAATATTTTTTGTGTAATTAAATCTTAAATTATGAATATAACCAGGTGTTTTACATGGATTCTTTTTTTTATCTTTTCAGGTCGGCTTCAATTCAGAACATACATGGTAAGCACACATATTATAATATTTTATGTTTATTATTGAGAGTATATTTATTGTCTAAACTAGAAATAATGATATCTTAGTACGGGGTATAAATATAATGGTCACTCCTTATCATCCCCATGATATTGTAAAAAACTACTAATGCAGCATAGAACTATAAATCAGTGAAAAAGAAGGAAACCTGGATTAAATCTTAGTATAAATAAGATCCCTGGACAACATAACTAAGCTTGGATTGGGACGATTATGATTTAATATTAAACATAAAATATACAATCACTAAACTAAATTTTTTTCTATATTTGATGATATTCAATTTTTTATTTGTAGTCATACGACTGTCAATTTACATAGTTACGTTTATATTTATCCAACTCGACAACTTAATGGACGGCGTAGACGATAGGCACTGCCTCTGACAAAAATTATCTGTACTTGCACAACACGTATGCGTCGTAGTATGCAATTTCAAGATTAAAATTTGAACCGAAGATTATCTCTGGAGATACAAGAGCGTAGTCAGAAATATTGTTGTGCGCAGCCCATAATATTGACATGACCTATGTTGCTTGTTACAGGGCAGATGCACCAGTCATGGGTCATTTATGGGAATATGTTATTTGGTCAGAGCTAGAAATTGGGTGAGTACCTCTGTTTATTGATCATCCTTGAGTTAGTCAAAACAATAATTATCTTTTATTACATACTCGAACGTCATTAACACTGATATATTTTTATCTGTCCAAGACGGAGATAAGGGGTGTTATTTATATGTTTTTAACTCTAAAAGTTCCGTAACGTTTTGTACAAGTTCTGATATCTCGTGTTTTACGTAATTAACACGAACGCCACTGAGAACGCTTCCGTATGATATTTATGTAGCCTAATAATTTATATGAATAAAATTGTCGTCGTCAATAAAATTGAGAAATAGAAATTGAAATATCGGTACATAGAAATGCATAAAGCCTAATTTTAATTGCAATTTTTTTTATTTATTGTTCTGCAATTTTTATACGATATGAAAAGTCAGAAACAAACTGATGTAAATTCATTTTTAGACATAAAAAACATCACAAGGTAGTTACACTGAGCTATCATCTCATAAATCTTAGTCAAATACTTTAGTTTTTTTATAGGAAGCGATCTTAAGACTTATAAGTCCTAAAGGACACTACTTTCACATTTTTTTTTATTAATTACATTTACTAAAAATTGTTTTATTTCTGTAGGTACAAACCGGATGGCAACACTTTCGGTGTAGTAGAAACTCCTCCGCCTACACCGATTCGTCTACAATGGGATCTTTCAAACGAAGATTTGCTGAAGGGTATCGATGTTTCTTACAACGTCGCACAAAAATTGCTCAACGACGTCGACCTTAGAATACTTATGTACACCAAATATGGCAAAGGTAAAATATATAAAATAATATTTTCATAATCAACACAAAATCACCTTCTTTCATGTATGCACATATAGGTCATCAGACATTACTGTTTTTAAATTTAAAACTGTAGGAGTTTCTTGCTGGTACTTCTTAGTAGATAGCAACATTTCAAAGCCAGCAGTAGAATCTTTAAAAAAATAACAATTATAAAGAGCTTGTAAACAAGTTTACTTGAGTAAAGGTTATTTATATGCTATTAAACTCGTAGGTTTCATGAAGAGTTGCAGAGTGTCACCGGACGCCTTTATACAGTTGATCTTGCAACTGTCGTACTACCGAGACGCTGGCCGCTTCTGCCTCACATACGAAGCTTCTATGACGAGGATGTTCCGCGAAGGCCGTACCGAGACAGTCAGACCCTGCACCATTGAGAGCTCTGCCTGGGTGAAAGCCATGTGCGACCCTAACGCATCGGTAAGATATTTTTTATTCTACTCAAATAGACAACTTGCTTGCCACTTTCAAAGTTGTCACCTAACTGATGGACCTATTTATTATCACCATACTATTTTAGTTGTCCACTGCTGAACATAGGCATCCTCCATAAAGAGGGTTTACCAATAGTTGCTATGCTTGGCAGGCGGATTGGCAACGGCAGTTAGACTTTAATGATGTTTTAAGAGGAATGCTGCTGTCCATCACAACATTTGTATGTTTTTCCACAAGTTTATGAGGATAATTTTATGTAATGCAAAAAATACAGAACATATGTTAAATTACTGTTATTAATAATTGTTGTTTCTACGTACTGTCACTGAGAAATAGACATTTTTTTTATTGGATGAAAATGGAATGGCAATCCCGCCTGCGCTAACGGGATACGCTGGCGGGGCACCAGTGAAGGGTGATCGATGAGGATGAAAACAGGCCAGTTAGCCCATCATGATGAATTCATCAGGAATTAATCATGACAGTTTTCAGCGAAAACCGCGAGGAGGTCGATCTGGTCGGGTATATTGCTAGCAATGGGATTGTTAGTCTCCATTACTAACAATCCCTTTCCCTGTAAGAGAAATAGACATTACGGATATGTGTGTTCATCGGTTTTTATAGCACCCTAACGGATGGATCGAGTTTGATGCAAATTTATTTACTTGTGGGAGGGCAAGTACTTGTGATAATGAGATTAACCTCGGAAACTTTTGTTATCAGGTGATATTGTAATGTCATCCACCTAATACGATTAGATTGCAAATCCTCTGCGATTTGTTAATGGATATATTGTACGAATTATTTTGGCATAATAAATTGGGATTTATCAATGTCGCTACAGAGTAAATTAAGCTGATATCAGCTGGAACCGGTTACGATGGAACCTATTAAGCTGGCAACTGACTTGTATTATTTGAATGAAATCGTGAAATTAACATGAATATTTGCACATTTAGTTTTGCGACTCAAGCCAAAAGAATATTAACATAGACCCTATTTTTGATATACGATTATACGAAAATGCTAATTTTAAATAATAAGTATATTACTTACGACGCTTAATTAATTTTTCAATTATTACATATTGAAAATAAACATTATTTACTTTCAAGATCGAGACGAAGGTGAATCTCTTCAGAAAAGCGTGCCAACGACACCAGTTGGGGTACCAAGACGCGATGGCTGGACGCGGTATCGACCGTCACCTGTTCTGTCTCTACGTCGTCTCCAAATATCTGGAACTTGAGTCCCCGTTCCTGCAAGAGGTGTTTAACGAACCATGGCGGCTGTCCACCAGTCAAACACCACACGGTGAGTAATACAGATTTTGCAAGTTTCCTTCCGTTATAAATCCACATATGTAAACAGTCTGCTATTTTTTAAGTTGCTTGCATGTTATTTGGAACTGTAATACATAATGTACATATATATTTTATTGATTTAAAAGGAAGCTGCTCGTCGAGAATGCTCATTAGTTTTGTGGTACTCTGCTGACATACGAATCGTTGTACTAGCCAACTTATCATAATTTACTTGACTATAGTATTACATATACAACTCTCGAGATGCAGTTTCTAATCTATAAAAACTAATAACGAATATATGGAATTACTTAAATTATAGCTAGACTATTGATAGGTGACTGTTGTAGTAAAAGAAACTGAATTATTGACTAGCTTAAATATCACTCTGAACCATCCAAACTATTCTTGAATATTGCTCAGAGGGTCCTCGCGGTTTCTAACTTCCATTAACATAGGATTTTAAAATGGGAACTAGTAGAGAACAAGTGAAAAATTTTGTAAATATTTTATTTGCAAATTGTTTAACGCGAGCAAAGCTGTGTTATTGTCATTATTATTTATAAATTATCTTGTTTATCTAACAGACATATTGAGCAATTGAAAAGCTTAGTTTTGATTTATATACAATATTTACTTATGAATGTAAATTATATACGCAATATTACATTACTCGTAACTAATGAGGACTATGAACACGTCTAATGGAGTAGTTGAGATAAAATTGTTTAACCTCAGACCCATGTCTGAGTACTAGATCTCATTTATTGATTATAATATTTACGAGTATGTTTTGCTAATAAAAATGTCAATTTGAATTATCATGAACAGTGTGATTTCGGTAGAGTTACTGTTCCCCAGCGATCAGATTAAAGAAATTGCTTTTTGCCGTAATTTTCTCAGGTAACTACTGACTTTGATTTCTGTAAATAAAGCATATTAAGATTTTTTCAAGATCGGCAACGCGCACGAGACTACACCCCTAGTGTTGCAAGCGTCCATAGGCTACGATGACCATTTACCATCAGACAGTCTTATATGCTTAATTGCCACCTTTGCCGTGTTAAAAATGTAGTGAATAGTCTCGTTACGATATTTCTTAAGAAAATATTTGTAAAGCAAACATGGTAGATAGATGCCACCAAATATGATTTATTAGCTTTGTTAAATCAAACAACATTACCATCATATGGTGCTTATCTTGATCATTGAATATGTATCGCCTGATTACCAGTGATCCTTTAAAACAATTTTGAAAATGTCGTCTTTTTAGGTCAAACAAGCATGTTGGATCTGAAGAAAAACCCGAACTGCGTAAGCGCAGGTGGTGGCTTTGGCCCAGTCGCTGACGACGGCTATGGAGTATCATATATCATCGCGCGGGAAGACACGATATTCTTCCACGTTTCAAGCAAGAGAAGTTGCCCTATAACGGTAAATATACTAAATATTTAATTAAAATATGTTTAAAGTTACATTTTGTGATTGAAAAAGTGAGCTGTATGCAATTCTGCATTTCTGCTACAATAAAATCACTTCTTTTAACCGTTACACTACATTTCCATTATAAATTCGCAGTAAATTATTTTATTCAATAACTATTAAACTTTATAAATTTGCTGCTACTTGTTTTGGATGGCTTTACTGGTTTTATCGTAAATTTTGTTTTAACTTTTATAGAGCTCATCAAACTTCGTGCAACAAATCGAGAACTCAATGAAAGACGTTCAAGAACTATTTATTGAATACAACAAACTTCAGAATGGTGCTAAATCTTAACGCGCTTTCTAGTTTCTTTTAGATTAATATTATTTTAATTTTGTTGTTGTTGTAATATCTAGTTAATGAAATATTTTTAGTGTAGTATTTGTAGGCATGAATTAACATTTTAAGCGAAAACTCAGTGCGTTCACTCTTACATTTTGTTGCTACAATTATGTTTTATAAATACTATGTATATATAGCTGTTGCAATATTATATATATTATTGCACGGTCAAGCAATACAAATCAATGTCTTTATAAACTCAGAAAAACAGGGTTTCAGTGACTGACGATATCTTTGATTAATGTATTATAGTTATGAATAAGTATATTTTGGTGAGTTTATAATAATCTATACATATGAAGTTTACATTAAAGTAAGCACACGGCAAACTTACTGACGTGCGTGTCGATGCTGTGATAGCAGAGCGTTTTTATACTCATTATATTTAATATGAAATGACAGAAATTCTATACAGAATAAAACAAATGACATAACATTATATACAAATATAACAAATGACAACATTATATACAAATATATCAAATGACGTTAACATTCTATACAAATATATCAAATGACGTTAACATTCTATACAAATATATCAAATGACATAACATTGTATACAAATATATCAAATGACATAACATTCTATACAGAATATATTAAATGTTTTTTCACAGTTCGTAGTCTATTTAACGATTACGTTTGCTTTCCAATTCCTCTATGCTAACCATAGAATATCGATTCTACTCCTCTCACTATCATTATCACTAATCCATGAATATTGCAACTAATTCTATCATATACAGGTATCAATCAAACGTAATCTATAAAATCTCTGTGTAATAAATATCAGATATAATTGAATACGCTTGCCACCGCTTAAATTGAGGAGACTTTAACGTTATCAATATTTTGATAAGTCGATAAAGTAAGTAGGTAATCAATTATTAATTATATACAATTGTAAAATTTCTAGGAGTTCATGACACTATTAAATCTGATGTTAGTAAAATATATTGTGTCGATAGCCAAATATACTCAGTAACTAATGGGCGCCATTTAGTGGAGTGATAAAGTGTAACAATGCTGGCTCTATGCGATTTATCAGTAGCGTAATTGGTTCTCTTGCGATTTTAACCCTGATATTTTTTACAACTGCTGTAGTCTTTACGTTGATAAAATTATCATCTTCATTTCAGCCGTTGATTGTCCACTGCTGAACATAGGCCTTCCCAATGAGGGCGGTTTTGCCGGTAGTTGCCATGGCTGGCAGGCGGGTTGGCAGCTATAGCTAGGTTTTAGTGATGTTTTAAGAGAGACACCGCTGTCCATCCTTCAACTATTAAAGTCCGTTAATCTTCTCTTAGAACACTCACCGGAAACGCCTATTCTATACTGGGACCACATGGTTGATAAAATAGTTTATATTAAAAAAATTACTGTGCCTCTGTGATAGGAGGAGTTTAAAACTCATATTTATACAAACTTATGGACGTAAAAGTGAACGCAAACGTAGAACTGCATTTACTTTGTGGGACAATTTTTGGCTCTAAAAGAGCTTCAGAGAAGCCTACTAGACCTGTTTCAATATCGATTCGGAGTTACTAAATTTGACAAAAAAAAAAACGCGTAGAATAGGGCGCCTGTAATGTGGATCCTTAGTTTTCATGTAGATTCAGAATCCAACGGCACCTTTTTTATTTTATTAGTTTACTTGACAATCAGTTCGTAGATCATTCGAGTTGGCTTGATATTACTCTTGGAATGGTAAAATGGCCCCAAATGGAGTTTGGATTGGTACTCAACGAATTGGTGGCACTGATTTGTAAACTGACAATCATTATACAATACAAAACTGCATGAAACGTATAATTCATAAAAGTACTCAGACGACAAAAAAAAATCTGATTCTTTGCAAGTACAATTTCTCACCTGTACAGACCTACAAAAAGAGAGTCCTAGTTCAAAGATCAGAATTAGATGATCGTCTAAAGCCAGCATACTATTAGTATAATTATTGTACCAATATTATATATATATATATTTCCTACGTGAGAATGAAATAATGTGTCATGTTTTGGGGCCTCTTAGGTTTTAATATAACTAATAGATATGGAATGAGACATCTAGGTGGATCTGTGTTTAGTAATCTGAAAACATTGGACTATATCCCAACGAATTATTTTCGATTTGGGATTTTTCAGCTAATAGAAACTACTATTTTATTTTAATATGTCTTGCATATAAGCTATATAAGATATATTTTACAATCTTGATGTTTTGTAAATAAAGAGAATACTAACAATACTTTTTGCTTTTAAGTGCATTTTAATTATAATAATTACTTAGACTAATAGTTCCATGAGACCATAGATATAACTAGAGCTTTTGGTTGAGGCAGGTCACCAAACATGTTTTGTTATGGACTCAGATATAAACATTTTGTCGTGTCGTAACATCTTAACGTTTCTATGTGTTTGAATTTAAACAGTAGTTATATGTATATACCAATATATGTATATAGAGCCAAATAATGGATCAATATGTACATATTTTTGAACTGTGACTTCGTGTCGTGTGTTTATATCTGCAGTCACCATATGAAATAGATCATCTCGTGATTTGTACCTATGTACATAAAAAAGTATATATAAAAAATATATTTATAAAAAAGTTTACAAATTTTTAGATACTCTTTAAAGTTTTTAGATTTATAATTTTAAGGAACAATTAATAAAATCAAACGTGATATTCAAGATCAACAAATAGCCTCTCATGTTATGAAGAGCCTTTTTGCCGTGCCAACTATTATTTATTTAGTGGCCGTGCCCACCCCGTTGCTATCTTGTTATGCCTATGCTTGGAACTGGTGTTTTTTCTGGAATTTGTATTAAGTACAGCAACAAAATACAGATTAAATATGCAGTTATATTTATTTTAAATCAATACTCTATAACAATTACAATATAAAATTCTGTCCATTATCTTTAGGTATACATATTTTATATAGGGGGTTGATATTGGGTAACTTTATAACTTTGTTTTTAAAATAAATCTGTTGTATTTTTTATTTTAATCTTTTATTCTTTTTATTCATACAATTGTTTTTGTTCAATACAATACAATACAATTCTTTTTATTCATACAACTGTTCAATACTACTTGTGCCTTGTAAACAGTGATTAAGCTCATGGGTCCAAAAGTGTGATTTTTTTATACAATGCAATGTTACCTAGACTGGAACCCTCTATTTACACTAATGCAATAATCAATATTCCGGTAATTGTCTTTATAAAATTTACAAGTTTTTATTAGTCTATTGTAAATAAATATAATTATTCAACTATCATGTATATTATTTAATTATATTGGTCTCCAATAGGTCATATTCCTACAACCAGAGTACGAAACTAGAATGTTGAGCACCAAAAAACTGTTAGCCGACTGTTGACTGAACATAGTTGACAAATTTATTCACATAAGATCAAAAGTTAAGCTGGAAGTCACCCCTAGAGTGTTACTAGGTGATTTCCTATAAAAGTTTGTAATAGACGAAAATTTCACTAAATAGAATAGAAATATTCTTTATACAAATACACTTATTTGCTAGTTCTTTTAAATCATAAAGTTTTATGATTTTACTGCCCTTTGGAATGTCTTTACTGCTGTCTTAGGAGAAACATCCTAAGAAAAACCTACAAGAAAGTCAACAGTTACTATTTTTAAACTATTATATACAAGATAATTGTACATTTGTTATGAGTTATAAAGGAAAAACTGAAGACAGGAGCTCATTCCATAACCTAGATGTATGAAATAGAAATTAACAAGATACATGGACAATAGTAGTATGCCATGCACCCATGAGGATGAAACTATAATTAACATTGAGTTCTATTTATATATACTATTCAATTAAAATAAATGAGCAAACGAGCAAAGATCAATCCCCAAAAACAGCACCTATTCACAAATTCGATGAATAAGCCAGCCATCAACCCCGTCACCACTCAGGATATTTGATACCAGTTTAAATAGTACTTTTTAATAAAATGCTAATTGGCCACCAGTCATCAATGATGATAGGTGAAATGACTTTTTTTAAAACAAACTTTTACGTAAAGTTATAAACCACAGTAAAAACCTTCGATATTGAATCTACGTTTCCTCCTTTTTTGAACAAAATTTGCAACGTTTATAAATATTCTGTACTCCGGGAAAGTGAACACTGAAGAATTTCGTAAGAAACTCCAAAATTGTCGCTCTTTTTATTTTTGAACAAAATTAGCGTGTTTCTTACAGATGAATTTTTTTTTTTAAATATTTTCCATTCCTCATTAGTTTCTCCTAGTAGCAAATTAAACTGCAGAGAGCAAGTAATTAATATATTATATTAAATTCAATGATATAAATACATTTTCGGTATTATCATACTATAAAATTTTACATAAATTCCACACTAAGTTTAAATGTATGGATTTGGTCGGATAACATCATGCCAACGTTTAGCTAAATGATGAAATCGCAAGAGTGCCAACTAACAAAAATAGTGTCAAATGCAATGCAAATGACTGCTATCTAAACTATTCGTACAACAGTTTCAGCTTGGTATTTCATATTTCTTTTTATTTTGATGTGTGACTTAGAACCATAAATAATTAATGTTGACTAATACGAAGTAATTATATTATTATCATAAAAAGATAATGGCACACGTAGGAGTATTATACTTAATCTATGTTTATCACGTATTATATGCCTTTTGACTTATTTATCTGTTTTTTTTTTTTTTTTTTTTTTTTATATTTGTTCTTATTGTTGTATTTATTCTGTAATCTAGGTTTTATTTGATACGATTAGTTAACATGGGTAACTTATTAATTTTTCTTGCGTTAACTTAATAATTCAGGCGCGGTCCACTGCGTTGCTTATTGAATTACATATGCATTGTAACGCATAAGATGATTTGTATCGCTGTACTATTATAGATACTTCCAAATGCCATAAAATGGATGATTTACAAATATTATCCATATTTCTCTAAGCCTATTTCACTTTTCTGATACTGTGCTGTACTGTGCGTCAAGTTATTTTCAATGAGGCGGTTAAAAAGTGAGTTGACACATGTATCGCAGTGAAGTGAGTTGGCACAATTGCGCAGCGTAGAGCCTTGTAACCCATGCCTATATCAGTTTTGCGTTTCCCCGCCGGTGTAAACCGATAGCGCGGGTGGGGTTACCATTCCATTATCACCCATTAAAAAAAAAATATCAGTTTTGCGTAACTTCCATACTAACTTTTAATGTATGGATTTGGTCAGGAAATATCATGCCAAAATTTAGTTAAATGATGAAATCACAACAGTGTCAACTTAACTAACAAAAACACTGTCAAATATGATCCAAATGGCTGCTATCTAAACTATTTGTGGAACAGTTTTAACTTTCGGTATTGTAACTTTTTTAGTATTTCATATTTATTTATTTTTTGACTAGGGAATTACGACTATGCATAATTAATAGACTCTATTATAGGAAGTGTTGTGAGTTTGTGTTTACCATCAATAATATTACGAAATTGAAATCTCAAGGTAATATTATATAAAACAATAAATATATGTAAGAATGTTACCTTTTGTTTTATTTTATCTAAAAAAATGTTCATCAGAATTTTTGCAAATTTCTTTTATCACATGATTTGTGTCTCTACTATCAAACTATGATATAATTATAACCTATTCATTCCTATTTTGAACATTAGGCTGGCTAATATATTGAAAAAAGGAGTATTTTCTGTAAATTAGTAAGGCAATGCTGACCAAGACATTTTACGTAGCTTGGATGAAGTGCGTTCTCTTATGCCTTGGTTATATACTCTTTGGCCTACATTAGTTGGCACGTAGAGTTATAATGTTCTGTGAGTTGGCAACATTATTCGCTGATCGCTCATGTTTTTGTAACCTCTTTTGGCAACATTTGGCTGATATGTGATTATTTATTTGGAAATAAAAATTAATGCACGCAATTTAAATATAACTACGTCTTCGTTTGGTAGATTATATAAATTACGTGCAAAAAAATGTTTAAATCTCTTCAAACCATTTGACTTCATAACAAAAATATCTACCCGATGTGCCTATTTTGACTTTTATTTATTCTTCTAAAATAATTTTGCACTATTTTAAACGTGATACTAATTATAATACTATAAAGTAGAGAATGTATCATGTATCACGTACTTAGAATAGTATTGTACAAAGTTTGGGTCGTGTCAACTCTTACTCTATTTTCTAGTGTCATAGTTTTTTGGTTCTATGGGTTTCTCACAGCCCTCCTTGTCTTCACTCTTGGCATGACTGGTAAGTATATGTTCTCTTACTTTTTCTCTATAATTTTTTTAAAGCTGCTTATAGGTGTTATGTTATAGAAATTAAAGTACTCTTATGTACGTAGAAAATATGTTTTTATAATGCTTAAATAATTGCTGGTTATCATAGTAAACAATAAAAATGTGCTGTGCAGGCCTGGCATAGAATAGACCACCTCTTCCTTTTCCATGGGTGTCATAAGAGGTGACTAAAGGAACCTAATAGTCGAGGAATGGGCAGCAGCATCCTCTTATAACATCACCCAAGCCAAGTTCAACTGCGTTTATTGGGTGATAATGGATTGGTAATGCCTGCCTGCCTGCGCTATCGGTATAAGCTGATAGGGCACCAGTGGAGGTTTTTTTGTGGGTGATAATGGAATGGTAATCCCGCTTGTGTTAATGGTATAGACTAGCGGGGCACCAAAAAAATATAATAAAAAAAAATATTTATTTCTAGTGGAATGGGTTAACTGACCTGCTTTTATTGTCACCTATCATCCTTCACTGGTGTCTAGGGTGGGGAGGAATTGTTAGTAATGCAAACTACCAGTTGCATTTCTAGCAATGTACTAATATGTAGTAACTAATATAATGAATTAATTAATATAATAATTTATGAATAAATAAAAATAAAAAAATAATAATGATAATGTAATGGTCCCCACTGGAATCTATCATGCTGAATTCTAAGTGCCTACATTACGATGGGCTAACTGGCATTGCATTTTCATCCTCACCTATCATCCCTCACTGGTGTCTCTCCAGTGTATACCAATAGTGCAGGCGGAGTTACCATTCCATTATCAGCCATAAAAAAAAAACAATCCCCCGTCTAACTGCAGTTTCCAATCCACCACTCAAACTTATAGCTAATGGCAAGACATTGGGGGTCTTGCCAATATTTTTATTGCTAATATAATTTTAGGGGAGACCTATGGTCAGTAGTGGACAGGTGGACAGTTGATATGATGATGATGATTAAAAATTATTTGTTCTAATCCATATTAATAAAAAAAATTAGGAAAATTTTATTAATTATTTATCATCATCATATTTCATCCTAAATGATCAGCAACTAATAGCAACAATAAAAAAATATAAATGACACTTTTGTGAGAATCCATTAGGTTCTGGAGGGAGCAGTAAAAAACCAAGCATCAATAGGGTAAAATAAATTGAAATAAAGATTTTTATTAAATTTTAAATACTAATTATTAATTTTTACTAATAATAAGTAAATAATATATACCATATCAATTGCTGAGCACTCAAGCTAGCCTATTTTAAGTAACTGAAAAATGAATATCCAAAGGAAAATTAGAAAAGTTTGTTTCCTAAATTGGCCCAATTGAGAATTAAACTTGGGATTTTGTTATGCAAAGCAGTCTGCCTACTGCTACACCATGGAGATTATTCAATATTGCATTATTGAGATGTGACACATGTAATATAACTATGGGAACTAATGCTAATTTTAATTCTTATCACTCAAAGTAATTTTTTTAATTTTCTCAATTGTTACATCATGTGTGTTAATTGGAGTGTCTTTTTATATATATTACAATATGTTATATATTATACTATTATTATTATATTACAGTATGTTACATATTATATTATTGTTATTATATTACAATATATTATATATTGTTTTCACTTTTATACTTTTAGGCATTTTGTACAGTGCCCAGGATCTATTATTGTATTATCCAAATGATCCACCAGACTCCAGAGCGTTTGTTTTACAACCTAGTAATTACAAGTTGCCATATGAAAGCATCAAAATTATCAATAAAGATGGTTTCAAGATCCATATGTTTCTTATAAAACAAATGACAAATAGTAGTCTTAAACCTACAATGATATTTTTTCATGGCAATGCAGGCAATATGGGTCAAAGGTAATATTTTTTATATTCTCATTATTATTACATTTTTAATATTGTAGCTTTATAAAAAAAAGTTATGTATTAAATATAAATAAATAGGTATACTTATTTCTATTGTAAAATTATATATGACTCCTTACAAAAAAAAAAAAAAAACAATTGAAACAAATGTTTATTTTAAAAGTGAATTTCATAGTGTTATTAACAAAATATTAAAGTAATTCTAATAATATTTTAAATGGGAAAGTTTGTAAACATATTTAGATGTTTGTTATTCAATCACACATGAACAGTTGATCAGATTTAAGAGAAATTTGCTATAGGAATAGGTTATATCCTAACTTATGTATTGATGCAAGTGGACAAAACCACAGAAAACAGCTAATATTGAATATAGTAGTAGTTTACTAAAAGTATTTCCAACAGATCTAAGGCACATATGTTTATAGATTGTCAATGTTAACATTGTACACTCCTCTTGTTACTTCAATGTTTGTGACCATATTCATATGTGGTGTTCTGTTAGTGTTTCTGAGGAAATGTCTTCAGCAGCGATCCTGCAGTGGTCCAAGATCTTATAGTTTTCTTATCACATACATATATGAAAGTATTGATTGTAGAAAAAGTTTTAAGAATTAACATTAAGAATCATAATTAATATATCTCATGTAAAATAATGTTTTTTTTTTTTTAGATAACACATAGTTTCTACTTTATTTGTTGTCCTTACTTGTGAAATCTTTAGTTTTAGTAGATTTGTTGACCAAATAATCATAATTGGAATGACTGTCTGCTGGCAAGGATATATAGCATTCATATAAAACACTTGAGCAGCACTGTGTTATTGATTAGAAATACAACTTGTCAAAGGAGTAATAATTGTATTTGTTTAAGTTTTATGTCTAATCGCAGTGTCAACATGTGTATGTTTGATGGTTGAAATCTTGGAAATTATTTTAATGCACATATTTTTTATTATTTAGATTGTGGAGGGGCATGCAATATTATTGTAGATAATCTATGTAATATATATTATACTTTTACAGATTGTCTAATGTATCTGGCTTCTATCACAAATTAGATATTAATATCCTTATGGTGGAGTACAGAGGGTATGGGCTTTCAGAAGGTACTCCTTCTGAGTATGGTCTTTATTCCGATGCTCAGGCTGCATTTGACTACTTGATGCAAAGGACAGACATTGATCCAACAAAAATAATGTTGTTTGGTAGATCTCTAGGTGAGTGGACAATAGTACTTTATTTAATATAATATTAATTAATACAAGTTTACATTGTTAATTATATTAATTTCCTAGAAGTATTTTTTTCCATAATCTTTACTTGCAGCATATTTTTATAATGTAATTCTCCAAATGTGTCTTTATAGTGTGGGCTTCTAACTATCGAGGTATACATGCAAAGATAATTTTTGACACAAATACACAATAGTAATAAGTGTTTATTACTATTTAACTTAAAATTATGCATTATACATAATGTAGCAAATAGTTTTATAGTTATATATAATTATTTTTTAAATTTTATAAACATTTCATTTTCAATAAACATTAAGTTTTTGCATCTATTAGAGTGTTAGTACACTCTGACACAAACATAAATTCATGACCTCAGGTTTGGTAATTTATGATGGAGACCATGGGTGTATCCAGTATGTTTTACCTTCCTTCTACCTATTACTTTATCTTCCAAGTGATAGATTTTGTGTAATTTAGTGTGATAAGTCAAATATATGTATACAGGTGGAGCTGTTGCCATAGATTTGGCTTCGAGGTTAGAATATAGGAGCAAAATCTGGGCCCTGGTAGTAGAGAACACGTTTACAAGTATACCTGACATGGCTCAAATTATTCTAAAATGGAGATGTTTGTTGTGGCTACCAGAATGTTGTCATAAGAATAAGGTAAGCATTTATATTACTTATTACTTTATGTATTAAGTATTCAATTTTGATACATACTTGTATCAGTGAAAGCTAGTATTTATATTAATAAAAGATAAACAATTTGGATTCAATGTTCTAAATCACAAAAATAATTACGCTGATTTATACGATTTATGTTATTACCTATACATAAAGGAACACAAAACCTAATCCTTTGTTCACTATTTACTGTTATTTCAAAGAAAATTTGCCATTTTATCCTTTTGTGAATTTTAATCGATTATATCAATTTGAAATAGTTTACCATTTTGCATCTTGAATAATATGTGGTACCATTACGTTACATGAATACATTTACCACATATGCTATTTAATAATGTAGTATTAGAGACCCGCCCCAGCTTCACAGGATGCGAACTATATACCATCTAATATAAGATTACATATATATACCATTTAATATCAGATAAAATGTCTAAATCACAGAAACTCATCAAAGCCAATTTACTGGGTACAGAGGAATAACACCTAAGTTTTCAGGAATGGCAGCGCATGGGGGGTATCATGGGCGAAACAGTATACTCTGTTATGCCCATGGTACTGCTCATGTCTATAGGCGACGGTTACCATTTTCCATCAGGTGGGCCGTCAGCTTGTTTGCCATTCTAAGTTGTATAAAAAAAAGAATGGTTTAGATGAGACAAACAGAGTTACTGTCACGCGCACAGCGCCTTTGTTGTAAAGTATTTATTATTTATTATAGACAAAATAAAATACTTAATCCTCCATTTTTATTTATTTTAAAATATTTTATTTACAGTATGTGTCAATCAAGAAAATTGTTCATGTAATGGCACCAACGTTGGTAGTATGTGGCTCAAATGACGCTTTAGTGCCACCGTCTATGGCGAAAGAGCTTTACATGAAATGCGGAGCGATATGTAAGAAATTAATTGTGATGCCAGGAGGCGGACATGATGACACTTGGACTTGCAGGGATTATTACACGTCCGTGCAACAGTTTTTAATCAATGTCCCGTCATTATCTGAGAACATGGGCCCTTTCTTTGACGATGTTACAAAGGATTCTGCCAATAGACATTCCATAGTGCATACGGTGTAGAGATATTGAAATTACATTGTAATTAAAGGTGTCAAACTTTTATTTTAATTTCAATTTATATTATAGTGTAATGCAACTTTTGTATGCATGCCACTGATGTGACTTATTAAATATTTTGTCGTATTAGAGAAAAATTAGGGTAATGACTAAATTATGATCTTTTAGTTATTAATAAAATATTTAGTTATTAATTACTTACATAGTTTATTACATTCAATGTAAGTAACAAAAAGTACGTATTTAGTACGTATAAAATATTAATAAAATAAAAGCATTCCAAAAATGTAAAGAAGAAATATATCTGTGAATGATTTATTTATTTCCGAAAGTCAATTATTAAAAAATTGTTAGTAATAAATTTTTAAAAATTATTTATCATAGAATGTCGAAACAATAATTTAAAAATATGCAACATCAAAATCGCCATATAGATTCTAACTATATTTATTATCCTGGCAACGTTAGTTAAAATAATAGAATATATAAAGTTTTAGTTTCAGCTATATTCTTATACCTTTGAGGTATTAAACAGGCTGTCCAGGAAACCATTAAGCAATCTTATTTCTTAAAATTCTATCTCTAATTTGATTTGCCACTATGCCACAAAAAAAAATATAGCTATAAAGTTACTGTGCTTTTGATAAGTTTCCGTACAAAAATCGATATCCATACAATAGAAAATAGTATTATTAAAATGTTAGTAATAAATAATAATATTTCTAGCAATACAAAGGGATATCGTTTGTGGACTGAGTTAGTAAGTACGGCTTAGAATATGGGCATCTTAATTGATATTAAGTTCTCTTCAGAGTTGCACAAAAAAATAATATTGGGGCTCGTCCACACAATACCGCAGTGGTAGTGTTACGAGCGGAGGCTGATATGTTCGCAATTGCTACTTAATTAATGAAAAGTATAGTACAGTGGTCCTGGCATGGGATGGTCAATCCCTTCTTTTCCCTTGGGTGTCGTAAGAGGTAATTATGGGAACTTAATGGTGGAAGGATGGACAGTGGCGTTCCTTTTAAAACATCATCAAAGCCTCACTGTGTTGTCCTCACTACTATCACTGGGCGACCTGTGAATAGTCTTTACCCTTGTTGAAATAACTAAGCCGATTTATTAACGTCGTATATGAAGATGTAGAATCTTGAAGGGACGATGACATTTAAAAAAATAATTGTTTCTTTCAATAAGGAATTTAATTATAATGCGGTGCTCCAAATTGAGATAATTTGCAACATTGTGTTATTGGTTCTTCCAAGGATTAAGTGTTAATGAACCAAATACTGAAAGGTGATGCAATAAATGTTGTCACTAGCGAGATGATAGTAATCGCTAAGTGTCTTAGGCCGCGAACTTATCAGCCGTCCCTCATACTTCACCGCGTGCAGCGTATTGACATAAATTGCAGTAGGTACAAGGCGGTGAAACTGTGTTGAATATTTCTGCCTAATGAGATAAATACGTAATAGTCATATTTCTGTCTAATGAGTCCAAAAGTATATTTTAACTTGTATTATATATATATAAGCCAAAATTTCAAAACGTACAAAAAAATTCATATTGAATTACCTATATTTTTGTTATTCATGTGAATAACAGTAGAGATGAATTTTGTTTTTAAATATGTATTTGTTACAGATCATATTTTATATAATTTTTATTGAAACTGGCTTGGTGTCAGACTTCAAGTTTTAATTTCATATATTTATGTTGTAACATTTTCATTGTTAAATCCCTTTACAAAAGAAACTGGCACTTATTCTCACTCGCACACTCTTTAAATTAATATATTATTTGAACTGTATTCTATCCACGATTTTGTAAAAGGTTTTCAATTGAATATATCTGTCGGATAACCAAACGTCAAATTCAGAGTGCCCATTGTATGAAGCCAAATTAACGAATTTAAAAAATAATCTTTAAATGTTTATCTTATTGGAAAGGTGCCTGTTTTTTTTGGGAAGGTTATTAATTTAATAAGTTGTCACTTTTTAGTTAAAAAAATTAAAGTAAATATTTTAATAGACAATGTTTTTTATTGCTTTTATTTTTTATATTTTGTCTATAAACTAGCTGACCTGACAAATGTTTTGATTTTTATCGCCACTTTTCTTATGCTGGATAAAAATTATCCTATCTCGGAAGGGACAGGTTGGCTAAAACGAAAACAGCTGATCCAAGTGAATAGTTTAAATCAGATCGCAGATAATTTTCCCACCGGAAATGTACCACAAAGTATTTGAATAATTATGATCCAAATGGCGCGTTATACCAATGAGGGCTCGATGTCGTGCTTCTTTGTAAATAATTTTTCATATTGTTGATAGTTGTAGATTTTAATATGTTATTAAATTGCTGTTTTTTGGCATTTCATAGTAATTTTGTGAGTTCGGTTTAGTAAAAAGGTTCTTGACTAATTTGTTAAAACTAAGATATAACCACGATGGTAACCATAGTGTTTACCAGGGTCGTGCTGTCATACTGTCGTGTGGAGGTTGACCTGGCGAATTGTATTAATTACAATAGGGACTAGCTTTGGCAAACGTGTCTTGTTAACATTATAAAAAGAGAGGCATGTTAATAATACGCTCATTATTAATATGCCTCCCATTTTATAATGTTGACAAGACACGTTTGCCAAACTGTTCAGCATTGTCAAAATGATTATTATAATTATTTCAGCGTTATGTAGTATGTTAATTAACGTAACCCATTCCTTAAAACTGGTGATTGCATTTATTAATAGATGCGATCACTAGTTTTTTTTATGGTGATATTATATTTATTCTAGAATTTTTTTGGGCTTTTATGAATTCTAACAGACGTTTTTTATGAGTGGGTTATTTTAACATATTGTATAGATTTTAATATATATTATTATCAAACTAAGAAAACCACTCAATATGTTTTACTTGTTTGAAAACTGGTTGAATTTTATTTATTAAAGAAATTCAGATACTGAGAATTAGTGGCTGATTAACGGATGGGAAAGGGAGAGGGAACGAAAGGGGCGACCCCTGGTCTTTTGGTGCTAAGCGTCTATTCCTCATCCATATTAAAATTCTATTTAACTAAATAAAAATGAACATATTTAGTCTGATACAACTGAATAAAAAGTCTGTAAAATTATATCAACTTCTTAAACTAGGTGTATGTATTTTTTCAATACTACTATTGTTAATAGAAACAACAATAATTTCCTAAAATATTTATTTCAATATACCAAGTTTTATTTAACAATCCACGCACCGTATGGTACTCTAATGTATGTAAACAAAATTTTATTTAATGTACCATAAATCATTTCGTGAAGAGAGGTAGGTCCTTCATACAATACACTCGTAAGTACGAAATTCGAAGCGAATCATTGAAACATTGTATTAAAGATTTAAATCATTCAAAATCAGTTTTATAAATAGAGAAAGTATGAGATACAAATAGGGCCATTCATAATATTCATATTCGAAAATATTGAAACGACATAACAAACTTATTAATACTACAATCATTAAAAATAAAAAAAGGAAGCAATTTATGTTAACAGAGCTTATATAAAAATACAGCAAAATTATTTTAAATCGACTATTAGCTTTATCGACTAATAGCTTATTGTAATATTTAGTAATTTTAAAATTGTGATGTGTGATGTTTAGATATGTGGTGTTTACATAAGTGATGCTTGCATTTGTGATGTTTCCATGTGTGATGTTGGCATTTGTTGTTTGTATGTATGATGTTCGCGTTTGTGATGTTTAGATATGTGATGTTCGGATGTGTATACATATCTGTGTATTTAAAATACACAAATAAATTTAAAAATATCACTAAATTCATCATAGTAAAATAAAAGTAAAAAAAAATATTCTTTATTATTGCAAATGATAATGATAAAATGTAAAAATGTCCACCCGTGCGAAGCTGGGACGGGCCGCTAGTAGATTATAAAGTCTCACTTGTCTTATTTTTTCATAGCACTAATGACAGTCAAACAATGCAGCGCATGACTTGTCTTACAGAATAGTTACAGCTTATGTTGGTATATAAACATTATTTGATAAACAATTGTATATATATGGTAAGGTACCACAAAAATAGATATCTAATTGAAGGCATTAATGTCTAAGATATAGGCTACGCCTAGTTTAGACACAAATATGCTGGGCATAATGTTATATTTTATAAATACTTATACATTAAACTTGGTAATTACTGTAGCCCATAATTGTATAGTTTTATTATCATTAACTCTTATAATCCTTATTAAGACCTCTAGGCTGTCTTTTATAGGATTAAACACTATCGACCGTAGTTGCAGAGTTCTTTAAACGATATTATTTAAATTCCCAACAATATTAAAATAAACTTAAGCAGCATTAAAGTAGAAGTAGACCCTATTTGCGTCAAATACTTTACAATAGAAACTAATTAAGCCCAGTCTTAGATGAAGAAATAGTACAAAACATTATAAATCATAAAAAAATTCATAAACAAAAAAAAAAAACAAGAATTATGTATTTGTAAAAAGAAAAATCTGCAGACTGCAACAAATGATTTCAACTGATATAGTTCATTAAAAATATTGTGATTACGAATAAATAACTAAAGTAATAACGAATCATAAATCTACATTTTCATTTGCTGATATACAAAATTGTAAAAATTTTAAATATTATGTTCAACAATTTGTATTTATTTATTATAAATTTATTACAATTATAATTATCATTTATGTAATCACAAAAATATAAAATAGATCATTATATTATTAAATTAAATTATTATGACCTGTCAATATATATTATGTCTATAAAGAAAAGTGAGAGTAAAAGCTCCCGACCAAAATATTTTTAATCGTATTTCGCAACAAATTGTATAATATCTTTACTGCACAGTAGTGGTATGATGCGTTCCTAAATTATAAAAGAAAATCATATAGATCTTTAGAATTGATGAAATACAATAATAATTAGCTTGATCAACAGAAATGTTTTTCTAATTATTCATGATTCAACATATATTGCGGAAGTATAATCAATATGATAAACTTTAGTCCATATTATTGTTGTATTGGGGTAAAGAGTTGGTTGGTTGGAGTAGGTTAACATTTTTTTTAGCCTTTCACTAACTTCTGACGATCTAATTTACATTTAACCTTTTCTACCGTTCTTTGAATAGTCACCATCTTCTTGAAATATATAATTCATTCACAAATGTTACGATTACTTTATTAAACTAACTTTGAGAATACTACTACTTTTACAAACATGCATTAGGAAAATTTATACATCCATTAGGAAAATTTGATTAATAATAAATATCTCAAACCCCGTAATGCAGTCCTATACAAATGTAAACCCACCCCAGTACCACTCTAAAGAATTTCTGTCCAGAGTTATTTGATGGCTGACAGAAAGAAGATTATAAGACTTCAGAAAAGGAAATTAGATATCATTAACTGTAATCCGTATGTAATCATTGTGAATCTCATATCAACGAGGTAAGTTTTAGTTTGATTAGTTTCGTAAGAATTGCACATACACCAAAATCCAGACATTGCTTGTCTTAAACTGTCTAATCGGACTTCATATAGATTTGAAGTAATCGAAACTAATATTTAGTGGTAATTATAAATTAATCATATTATAAAAAAACCTACAAATCTATTTTGACTGTAGTGTATTTTGTCATTTCGTTTTAATGGAGAATGGAACAAAAGGAAAAGACAAAACACAACAACAGCAAATTTTAAAGAATAGTCGGGTAAATGTATGAGGGGCGTCCTTCACAAAAATTCGTAGATGACTGTGTATATTACGGTTTCAATGTGTGGTGCTGTGCACGTGGCACAGTTGAGCGTGTGCGACGGCGATGTGGTGGCGTCGTGCCAGCGGTGCTGCTAGCGGCGCGCGCCGAACTCGACGGCGTCGTCGTCGGTGATGTCGCCGTGTCGCCACAGGTTCAGGCGCGAGCTTCTAGCGTGTTCCTGAGCCGCACGGTACTCCGCCACTAAACCGGACAGCCTGCTGTCGCGGAGACTTTCCATCAGCACCAAACCCTCCTTGATCAGATTCTATAAATAAATAAATTCATCATTGGTCTCTCCCCTCGAAAAAGCATATTTTAGAGTACTCTTATTATACGATTCGTCATTTTGATACAGAACATTTTGTTTTTACGACATTCTGTGAATGAAAAATTGTGGAAACATATTGTTTTCATTATTGAAAATAATAAAGAACAGTGAGTAGTCCGAGTGATAATAAAAATATCTGTATCAGGAATAGATCTATACATTGTCAGAGCAGGATGCATCAATTCCCGCTACATCATCATCATATCAGCCCTTAACTGTCCATTGCTGAACATAAGCCTCCCACACCGCAGTCAAGCTTTAGAGATGATTCAAGAGGGACGCTGCTGCCTATTCCTCGCAGTCCCTTAATCGATTTTTACGACACCCGCGGGAAAGGAAGGGGTGGGCTATTATATGCTGGGACCACATGGCCATTCTAGCTTGGTTAATACTAATTTAAAATCAAATTACATACATTAATACATTACATAAATAATAACCCCTAAACTTTTCGATATATAAATTGAAATGATTGCATTCTTAAGTTACATAGATGAAGGCAGAATGTCGCCTAGCGTTTTTTAAATAAGCCCAATGTTATCAATGAGATAGTAATTATAAATTTTGAAAAATTCTACAATAAAAGCATTCGCAGCGCATGTGATATTGTACGTACGTAATGGGCGGTAAACGTTTACTATCAGACTAGGCATACACTTGTTTGCCACCTCAGTGACATATAAAAATAAGACTCACCTTTCCAAGATCAAGGTTGGTGTTGGGGTCCACTAGCGTGACGCCGGGCGGTGAACCGCGTGTCTCCACGTTGAGTAACAACTTCTTGTTGAGCGTATCTGCAGAGAAGGCCGCGACAGCTTCTAAACGGTCATCGGGATCCGACGGGAACTTAACGCAGCATAATATATACTCGCTCGCATATGGCGGGTCGGTTTCGGTTCCAGCAGGAAGAGATGCCAATCTACTGCTACTGACTACCTATATGCAAAAAAAGAAAGAACAATTATGTTATAGATAATGCATAATAAATTTTATTATTGCTTTTTTATTATTGCACTGATTGTTTATAAATTCTATAATTTAGACTTGACAACTATTGACAACTGTTATTTGCAAATTGTAAATATGATATTCTAATAATTCTGTAATTATTTATATTCAGGTTGAGGGCAGACATACTAGCTGGCTAGTAGGTCAATTTTTTCTTAGTGGAATAAAATTATCTTATTTCTCACATAAAGACTAGCTGACCCGACTGACGTTTTCCTTACTGCCGCCTCCTAGTGTCTCTCTGTGTGTGTATGCGAACGTGCGTGCGTGTCTGTGTGTGTATGTGTAATCCGGTTTATATGTGATTAGACATTTCAAAATCCGATTTTTACTATTTCTATGATTTAGAATAAGAACAGTTTCTCAGATAGAGCAGTCCCTTAAAAAAAGATGCAAATTATTTACCTTGTATAATTATGCAAAAATGGAATTGTAAAATGAAATTCAGATATAACGTTATCTAAAATCTGTTTTTTCTTGTATTTTTAAATGTACGTTCCTTTATAATTCATTGTGCTATGATTTGAACGTTCATCATATAAATTATTGTATATAGTTTAAAATTTCTCTTTTCGTTTGTCAGTTTCCCCACTTACTTCCTTTAAACCACGCAACAGATATTGAAAATTTCTTATAAAGTCTATGTATTATGTTTCTATAATAAATGTATATTATAGTAAACCGAGAATTTCAAAGCTCTGTAACAATATCGTAAAAACATTTTTGGACGCTTACATTTATTAAAGCTGGCTAAACCTTACGAGATAGATCTAAATAAAGTAATAATAATATGTGTATCTTTAAAAGGTCTACAGGAAAATGTCTATATCCTAGGAATAACACATAGTAATGATTTTTATTTTTTATATATTACTAAAAAATAATTGATTATTCACGAAACTATTTTAGATAATATAGTATTGATCTTCAATGTAGATTGAAATCGTCTTTTATGATCATTAAAATGAAATTTTAATTAATTATCATTCGCTGCGAAACAGATGGTAGGCTGGCATGGGCCGTCGCCATTACGTGGACGCACAATTTTGTTCTTAGGTGATTTTTGTTAAGTCGTATAACCTATAGGTTAACCTAACCGTATGTTGAGGGGGGGAAAGGGATTGTTAGTAATGGAGTCTGAGAATCCCATTGCTAGCAATATACCCAACCAGGACGACCTCCTCGCGATTTCTCCTGGAAACTATCATGGTTAATTCCTGATGAGTTCATCATGATGGGCTAACTGGCCTGTTTTCATTCTCATCTATCACCCTTCACTGATGCTCCGCCAGCGTATCCCGTTAGCGCAGGGGGGGGGGGGGCTACCATACCATTTTCATCCATCAAAAAAAAAACCGTATATTGAGAGGTTCACGAGCTGATGAAATTAAGTGTAGTTCGAGTGATGGCGCATATCCGGAGTAATGTATCGGTTCGTGTGTGCGCCCGTTCGCAAAATTATTGAGTATTTATTTAGTTGGCACAATACTGACCGGATGTGGAATTGGAGAAGTTGTTTTAATTCGCCGAATTTCCTCAATACTCACGGATTTACTGTTACAATTTACAACATTGCAATTTCCAGTAAAACGTATCATATTCAGCGACCATTAATAAATCACAGGGTCAAACATTCAACGTTGCGGGTTTAGTTTTAAGCGTTGAATGTTTTTCACATAAACAAATATGGATATATGTAAACCATTTGTGTGTAATGAAAAACAATAATGTATGCAAAGATATTCTATAGTTATACTTATAAACACCGTTTCATATATTGTATATTCGTGCAAAACTGGGGCGGATTGGTAGTATATAAATAAAAATCAATGTAAGTGCACTTTAAAACGATCACACCTATTTGGCAGATGCTTTTTTTGTCGTGTTTGTAATTGTCAGGACAAGGTTTGTATAAAAGAAAATATTTGAAAAGTTACATGCAAAAATGAAAAATATAGTACTCCCGTGCGAAGCGAGGCAAGCCTAGCTGCTAAATAATAACAAATACAAAACATTTTACCGACATTATTATAGAAAATTGATATAGCAACCGCGAAGTAACTGCGAAGCTTTAGAATGTTATGTATGGCTTCAAATAGGGATAAACCAATTTTAAATTCGTCTGTTCTTTTTCGTTGCATGTTACGCAATAGCTTTGTGAAATTCGAAACAGTTTTAATAACTTTTTGCAATCGATATGACTTATTTATATTATTTATTATTATTATTAGTGAGGATGAAAGCAAGTCAGCCCATCGTGACGAATTCAAGAATAAACCACACCCGACTGACCTGACAGGATATATTGCTAGCAATGGGGCTGCTAGACACGATTAGTAACAATCTCCTTCCCTCCAGAATTAAGGTGTGACGTCTCCGTATCCTGTAATTTCGCTGCCATGTTCCATTCTCCAAATCGAGACCCAAGCAGATAAGTTTGTACAAAATGTCCCTCTCACCGTTTTAATTCCAATGTCACGTCAAGTTTCACTATCATTTAAATATTTTTACGAAATGTTATGCACAATACGAGTACGCACGAATGAAACTTTTAGTAATAATGTAACGTATAAATTCAGGGCGGGTAATTAGTACACTGTAAAATTATTTAATGTTATGTTCGTGAATGTAGTTGTTTTCGATTATTAATTTGTATCTATTACCAATTTAATTATTATTTATGCCAAGAATCTCAAATTACAATTAATTAGTGTCTAAGAATGTATTATATTATGTTACATAATATTATAAGGTAGATGTTTTACACACACATGTTTGAACACACGCCTTTCATAACTTGTAAAATTTATTACTTTGAAAAATGTAACAGCAATGTATTTTTATTCATTTCCCTTGAATGAAATGCATTCTGATTTGAACAAAAGAATTATAAAAACCTGACTACTCAAAAATGCTAAAATTTAAATTTACTTGAATATCAAATATTTTTTTTTTAATTTTCCTTTCTATGTTTCTATTTACATTCGTATATCTCTCATCTGTGCATTATGAATTCAAAATCATTAGCATATGAACCTAATATTTCCAAAGAAATGTAGATTGCTCCCTAAAAATAGTCCTCTATTGTGAATGCATTGATGAACTATTTTACATAAGGGTATCCATCAACAAAAAAGTCGTGGATATCTACGAACATCTCGTTGCAGCAAAATCTATACATATGTAAATAAGGAACTAAACATTGTGTGTTTACAGTCGCTTTGAGTCCTAACGGACCGAGTTGTCGAAACGAAAATATTTTAAGCTATTAACAGTTTGTAATTGTTAGTTACCTACGTTCATGATCAAACGCGTATAATCTATAAGTTATAATTACATACAAACTTCAAATATCAATGCATCAATACGTTTAATAACGTTACCAACTCCATTGGCGTTGATAAGATTATTATCCAGGAGAGGAGTGGGATGGCCGCTTAAAAAGGCGCAGATATATCTTTTCTTGGGTTGGGCACCAGATAAAAAAAAAATATAGGGATTCGAATCCCAATGGATCGAGTTGTTGGAAGCAAAATTTCTCGACCTAGTTTGTAATTGCTTTGACCTGCGTACAAGATTAAATACGTATATGATATAGGGCGCGCAATCAATGTAACTTATAATTACATACAAAGTAAACATATCATCGCATTTAATAACATGACCAATCCCCAGTGTACTAACAACTTAATCTAAAATTATGTGATGCCCACTCACGTGAATGTTAATTAGAACGTGTGGACTTGTCACTTTATTCAAAATTAAGAACATACGAGTGAAATTGAAATAGTTAACAATCACTGAAGGGAGTCTTTTACCAATGTAACTGAACATTGACACGAAAGAGACAACTCAGGAACTGAGTTAGTACGGAAGGCATAATTATTTGTCGATTTTGATTTTTTGATTCATGAAATTTCTATCCTATTATATTCTTTGATATAGGTAGATTCTTAGTTGAAGGATAACTGACGACTTCTAATTTATAATTAAAATAAGAAAATTTATACTAATATGTAAAGCGGACTATACTAATAACACTGCTTGAACGAGCTAATCTCTGGAACTATTAAACGCATTTAAAAAAACATTTTTGCATTTTAATTCATTTATCGACCATGGCCTTAGCCACGGGATGCAGCTAGTATAATTTAAAATAAATGCTGTTATGTTCTTTTACGATTGATGTACGCGAGTACACTAGCTATTCATGAGGTAGGTAATGCGATTGAGCTAATGAACTTCTTATAAGTATAGACTTCGTATCGCTAAATCGTGCAGTATCACAACCAAACGACTTAGTAACGCGTTAAAGATTATTTAACACTTTATCTCAGATAAAAATTGTTATTGTTTAAAGAAGAAATAAAAATTATATTTAAAGAATGATAATAGTTTTAAGGTTAATAAATTGAGATTGATTCCTTTTTTTAATATATAATTACTATGTGGCTTGCAGTTATGCAATGTTTATGTATATGTGAATGTTTATTTAAGTGAATATTTTATTGAATGTAGTGACTAACATAAAAACAAAATGACCTATGATGTCATTTATTGTGAATAATATAAGAGATACACTTACCTCTCTGTTTCCGTAGTCAATGTACAAGATATGGACCATCTTGTCATCTGTAACCTTCTCGACCTTCGCTCTGTACCACTGATCGTCTATTGTAAAGCGTGCTGCACAGATGTTACCTCTCCTCGGCACATAAGAACCAGGCAGAGGAGCATTCGTTTTGAACTCTTGATGAATTTTTTCCATCAATGTCTCCAATTTTGTTCCTAAATCAACACTCTGAGCATAGAAGTTGCCGTCTGAAGTCACTTCAGTAATGATAACTTTCTCGTATTTCAACTGACGATCTTGAACTGGCGCGTTTCTTTCTTTTTCAATTTCCTTTTCTACTTCAACATAATCTTTCCATATACCAATACGCTTCTTGATGGCATTTTCCTCTGCAGTTTTGATCGGCCGAGCATATTCGGATGTTTCCGCTGTATGATGCACGGATGCGAGACCATGTTCAACTAGTGACACTGACAGATTCTCATTGTCTACCCAAAGCCAGCCAATAAATTTGCCAGCTTTATCCATTTCCTCAATTGTTACAACTACATCATGCTGTAGGCATTTATCCTTAGTAAACTGAAGAGCTTCTTCGCCGAAGGGTTCGGCATCCTGCATGCCGCCTCCGCCTATAGCTGGGCGAGCACCCCTTGGACAGTTTATACCAGCAAGCAAAAATGTAACCAGGACGGACTCTTTGGGAATGTATAATCTCATACGTGACCCACTCGCAACAAACTCCACTGTCGCTTCTGTTTTTTGTGCTCGCTTTAAGAATGGGAAGAACTTTTTCGCCATTGCAGAATCTACGCTGGTGTCTTGGATGCGATGAGCAGGAATGTCTTTTTTAGCATGTACGCCAATACCGGCTTTTTGAGCTTTTTGCTCGGCTTCTAATAACTTGTCGTAATGCGAGCTTCTCTGGTCGTTATCGTTTCTGTACTTCACAACTGTTCCATATCCCTTTGCTATTAAGGCCTCTGCAATATTTCTGCATTACATAATGTTTCATTAATATAATAATATAGAAATAAGTCGTAAAATGTTTTGTGTAAGTTTGAGAAAATGTAAAAGTTAGGATTATTACCATTACATAAATTTGAAAGATTTATTTGGTTTGTATGTTGATATTTTATTGGATAATACTTACGTCCCACCAGAAATTACGGTACAGCAAGTTTTCTCTAGGAAGTTGTCCTTGGCCGGTTGGATATAATCTACAGTAACATTTACTTTTTTGCCAACAAGTTTTTTCCTTAGGAATTCCCGAGCTTCAAACATCCATGGTATATCATATAAAGGTTTGAATCCTTTTGGTCTTGGTGATTGCTTGCCTTCATCATCAGCGTTGTTCCTAAAAATTTTGATAATTAAAAAAATAGAATTTTTAAGCCAAAGAGAGACTGAAAAACTGAGACAATAAATGTTATCATAATAGTTTAATTAGTAAGTTTGTATGCAAATATCGTTTACGGGTACTTACTTCTCACGCGGCGGCCTAATGCTGGCAAGGAATATTTTCTTGTGTGCATTATTGGACAGTTTTACGACGAGCGCATCACCATTCACTACCTCCAATACGGTGGCAGTGAACTCCTTGTCTTTCGCTGCTATTATCGGCGCGTTACTAATATAGTTGGTCCAAATACGCAGTTTTGCATCTTTTGCAGCACGTTCAGCTGCCCTCAATTGTGATGCACCTATATTTTATAGTACATATATTTTACTACCACCAATATATGAATGCCTAATACAATATATAAGTGCTATATATAATACAAAGTTGTACAAGTATAATATATAATGTGAAACCTTATACAAGAATAGAAATATTTATAAAACAAAGGTATTTGAATGGAAACTTGTTATGTGTTTTATACAAATATGTGTTTTTTAATTGAAAACAACTAACCAGATTTCATGACGGCAAGAGACCAGTCTACGCATTTAGCGAAACCTTGTCGTAGAAGTGCCTCGGCAATATTGCCTTGGGGGTGAATGATGGTGCCGACAAAGTTTGCATTATTGACTGACTCTAGTATCACTTCTATATCTTTCTGTAATAGCCTTGACTCCACAAAGTATCGGGCTTCATCAGCGTATGCTTCGCTTTCACCATCTTGTTTGATGATAGGGCACTGTAATTTAATTTTATAATAAGTAATCATATTTAAAAAATATTTTGTAATTGCCAACTCAGTGTCTATAGTGATTCTTTAAATATATTAGATTATTAATATGTTAATTAGATATACCACAGATGCACCATAGTCTTATTATAGAAAAATATGTATAATGTATGGCTTTTATTTCTTTTATTATCAAAGCCAGTTTTATTTTAAGAATTAAATGCATTTGGCATGTGTAGCAAAAAAATAATGTTTTTACATTATTATTATTAAAAACAAGCTGAACGTATCTACCATGAAAATATTCCTTAAAGTCACAAACCGAAGGAAACAAAAAAATGCTATTAGAATTATATAATTTAATGTAAGATTTACATTAAATTACATTAAACACTTTAAGGTAAGATTTATATTGAACAAAACATCACTCTCTATTTATTACCGAAATAGACATGAACACCCAACATTTAGGCACGAAACTTTTGGAATTACCTTTCATGATAGACCAGCGATTTGAAGTACAATATGTAATTGTAATTACATTGATATATATTTAATTGTAGTTAAATTGATATCTTAAAATACTTACTCTGATTCCAGAAAGCATCAATGTTATCTGATAGAAGTCAGGTAATAAACAAACCCTGACAGTTGAGCCATCTCGTACATATTCAATTATCGCTTTAATTGGCTGTCCGTTGTGTTTGTTAACAAATTGTTTTGGATTATCTATAGTGGTTTTAATGTCACGAACATGTTCCTAAAGTATATAAACTTTAATATAAACAATGTTTAAAGTAAAATACTAAGGTATATCTTGTAACTGTAATAGGTACTAAATATAATGAATCGAGACTTTGTTATAATTTTAACTATATTTTAGTAGTATTCCGTCATCCTGATATGAGTTAAAAAAAGTTTTACATTATCGTTTATACAACGTAGGCGTACAATGTACGTATACATAACGAACGTCAAGTAAAAGTAGCTTGCTACGCTCTCACGTCAATTTAAAAACAAAGTAAATAATAATATTATAGGTAAATTAAATACAAACGTACGATACTACGCAATGAAAAAAATATAAAATATTGTCTACACTTACTTGCAGATCTGATCCCCAAATACCTTTTCCTTGAGATTTGGCAACATCTTCAATTTCTACTAGTCTTTTAAGCTGCGGTATATTTCTTCCCCCATCTCGTACCTTCACCAGGCCTTCAGCGAGCAATGCTTCAGTTACATTCTCATCTTTAGTGGGGTCTTTGCCAGCCCACACAGAACCATATTCTCTTGTTGCAGAGTTTGGTGGTTTCTCCGCCGTGAATATGACTTCTTTACCAACAAGTTTTTTTCTTAGGAATTCCCGAGCCTCCCACGCGAAAGGCTCATCTTTTGTCTCCACATCACTGTTAAAAATATAATATTTTTTTCTACATCTTGGAATGACTATTATAATTAAACTTACTTTAGGGAAATTTGGCATAGTAACAAATCTTTTGCTTTTCGCAATAGCTAACAATTCTTAATTAATCAATCATTTCTGGAAATAGTACATCTATTTCCAGAAATAAAAGTAAAAGAAATACACTGTGGTGTGTGGTACATAAGAAAAACATTTAAGACTGATATAATTAATAATTACACAATCACAAATATATAACCACACTGTGTCACGTAAACCCATTTGTAGAAATCGCTATGCATCTATCTTCAGGTGGTAATGTCATAAACTTCGCAATAAATATTAAATGTTGAGCTTACTTAATTATATACTTACTTACATAATTTTTGTTTTGAACAAACCATTTTTTAATCTTTATTTAATGTTAGGATAATTTAATAAAGATTGTTTGAATTGACATATTAACTAATCGGTGATGAAATTAATTGCTCTAACTTAAGATTATTACGTGCTGGTGTAGGTCTTGAGGAAAGTTAATTCAGTGTTCAAGAGTCGCAATAATCGTTTATTATTAGGTAGTATATGTGATAGCCAGCCTTGTATAAAAACATGTTAAAATTATTTACTCCCATTCAGAATCAACAATTTTTTAAAATTATATTTAACTAAAAATATTACACATTGATAAGTTATTTAAATATTTTGTTGTTGGTTACAAATTATTACATTACACTTATAACGCGATATTTTTATTATAATATACATAGCATTGCTGTGTGATAATGGCATAGAATGGGTCACCCCTTCCTTTCCCGTGGGTGTCGTAAGAGAGTTTAATGGTAGAGGGATGGACACCAGCATCCTTCTTAAATATTACCAAAACCTAACTGCATTTGCAAAGCATCTTATGAAGGAGGTCTATGTTCAGCAGTGGACAGTTAACAGTTGATATGATAATGATGATACATAGCAAAGTCGTGGATTACAATTATTATTTAAATTATTAAATTTCTATGACAGTAACTGAACTTATGGTTTAAAGTTCGTAATTTACGTGTCAAATGTAAACCTTGTAAATTGGGCTCCCTTTTTCTAAATCAAGCCTCTCATTTGGGGTGTTGTATGTGTAAAAAACTTAAAAACCAAATTTTTTTATACTACTTAGAACGGCAAACAAGCTGATGGCCCACCTGATGGAAAGTGGTAACCATCGCCTATAGACATGAGCAGTACCATAGATATAACAGAGTATACTGTTTTATTCATGATACTATACATATATATATGATGCGTTGCAATTCCTGAGGACTCAGGTGTTATTCCTCTGTAATCTTAAAACACAGCCATGCAAACACAACTGCTTTTTGGTTGAAACACAAATGGGACAGAGGTACCCAAGCAATTGACTTTTTTACAAAGTCTCTCTCTGGTAAATAAAATAAATTGAAAACCTTAAAACAAACAGAAGTGAGCTTAATTTGCTGTAGCTGAATTTTAGATGGTAAATTCCTAGATAAAATGTATTTTGAAAAAGGTGAGAGAATTAATAAAAACAAAATTATATAATATTTTCTAAATGTTCTATTGCAGGATTTCAATTAACAAATAGTTTTGTGTCATTAAGATGTGTAATATAACATTAATGACTAGTAATAAGTATGGAATTCAAATAAAATGAATGGAAATTGAATTAGTTTTCAATTATATAAATATCATATGTATTAGTACATATTTTTAAGATAATTTTGTTACAGTCTGTTAATCTTCAAATCAAAATCCATGGATGAATCAAAAAGATTTTTTTGCAACAGCAGTTAAAATCTATTGTCATAAATTTAAATTATTTAATATAATAGTTAATTAAAAATTAATTTTAACTAATGATAAATCTATGATTTCCATAGAGATAATCATCACATTTCAATTTAATAATGATGAATTTTCATTATATTTTCAATCACTATACTATATAAATTAAAATTTAATAGAAGAATAAACATACTATTATCAATTTGTATAAATTACATATAATATTTTTAATGACTTGTACTATTTATTTTATAAAATAAACTACCACATTACTTCATTACTACAGTTAGATATTCATAACACTGTTATGGTGTAGTAATATACCCCCTATGGGTATAATATGTAATAAATATCAAGAGTCTGATACAAGATGCAAATATGATTTTACAAAAATATTTATTCAATTATATATATATTAATTTTATAATGGTACATGTATATGGGATTTCTAAAAATTATAAAAGAATTTATAAAGTAGTATATTAATTATTAAAAAAAAGGTAAATTATTTATTAATATTTAGAAAATAACAATGGTTTGACGCAATAAAAATCTTTAAAATGGCTTCAATTCGCAAATGCATTACACAACAATCATAACATATCTAAATGAAATGTTCTTACCACACAGAACTACTTTCACCTTTTTGATTCTTTTATTTTTATGTAGTTACGCATTTAGATACCTAGTTTAATAAAATAACTATAAACTTTCATTTAGAAATGTTAATTTTAGATAATTTTAATTTGGTGTGGTGACAGATAAATTTGAAAAATAGTCGAAAAATAACATTTAAAAATATTTATGGAAACAATAGTGATCAGATTCTTGTGGTATTGCATGCTGTACATGCTAGTCAGATACAGATTTTAGACACTCTCAATCTTTTGTCTCAGCACTGAGTAGTCATTAAAAATGTTATTTCATGACTTAAAGTATGCATGAATTTAGAAGTCTCTTTATACAATATGGTACTTACTTGTTGGCAGTCCTTTGACGCGCAAGTTTTGGTGCAGTAATACCTGATAGTGCGATCACTTTCTCAGGAGGGGGGCCACCCTGGGGCTGCTTCCTTATAACAATCGTATCTCCTGATAATACCTGTAAATATCAAATGGTCAAAACGTTGAAATAGTATTATCTGGATCAGAGAGCATTGAAGGCCGATAAGCTGGTCCAAGATACGACCTTATTATGAAGCAGTCAACAGTCCATCTGGCATACACAATTTATTTGCGAAAAATCATTGGATATATTAATAGGTAACTTTATGGAGTTAAAACAAAGTAATTACATGACAATGTGGTCGTTATCGAGTTTAAGTCTTGGTCGCATTGTGGTGCCAACAGGGCAAACTATAAGAAATCGGCACGAGGTATCATTGGTAGTGTTTACTCAATGTAAAAAAAACACAAAATTGTTGTATTACCTGCTTCACTATTCCAATTTTATAAGCAGGGGTGGGTGCTGGAGCACTCATTTTTAATATTAATTTACACTGTTAAGGTGGTAAGAGACCGAGAAGTTAACAATTACTGACGAGTACGAGTGAACAACTAACAAGACTGGCGAAACGTGGCGGGCCGCCGGTGTTTCCACATTTCAAAAGTTCTATAGTATAGGCGTGTTACCAGATGCATGCTGCTGAAATGTGCCAATTAGTATAAAACCTAAAGTCGCTATATATATATATATATCGTGTGTACGTAAATAATAATGAGTGATTGATAAAACGATGAAACAAAAATACAATAAAAAAGCAATTGCTTTAACGTTTGAAAAGAAATCTTCCTACCATGTTTATTTTTTTTGCATTTATAGGTTTTATGCTTGCCGATATGGGGTCTCTATTTCAGTATACGTCTGCTTCAATGGATGTCGGTTCTATAACAGATATAACCAGCCCATTGTCACTTTAGCTTGCAAAATTACTGATTTTTTACAGTAATTTTGATCCTTTGATAGTTTACATCCTTTCGTATTCGATGCTTCAAAGAAAGTTGGGGTTTATATAATAATTCTTTCTACACCGTGCTGATTTTGCTGAATGACTTTCAACTGTAGTCTTGTCGTCAATGATCACTATTTGGCATTATGTGTGCAGGACGCATTGATTACGTCTTCATTTTCATATTTAGATTTTGTGATAGTCTCTATCATAAAATCTAGACAGAGTTTTCCAAAAGCTATACAGCACAGCTGTATTCACCTCCTGAGTTTTCTTTTGAAATTATTTTTACCTAATTGGAGTATTTATTCTATGTAAGTAAATTCAGAAATAACTTCGAGAGCGGCTCGATCTATGACTATTGGTTTCGGTTGAACCCCATCGACACAATCCCAGTTTTGTTGTTAGATTCTAGTTTAATTCATTCGAAAACCAATATACTGAAACTAATAAGAGTTTATTCTTGATAATAATTAAATATTTTTTTAATTTATTTAATTATTATTAAGAATAAATGACCTACGGCGATTCAGCCATGGTAACGATATCCTCTGCGAATCATAAATGAGAGATGTGCTTTAGTTGATCTTAATTTTTTCAGGTTAGCAATTTAAGGTAATTAGAAAAAATTTAGAGGATATAAAATATCCTCTCTCATTTTTGGTTACAAGTGAATATAATTTTTTTGGTGGTTTTGTATGTATAAGAACAATCGTTGTGATAATATAATAGAGATATCACAACATTTTAATTTATAGTTACTTCCAATAAAGAGTTTGCTATGATATCAAATAGAAATTTTTATTTTAGAGAGAGGTTTAGAAATAATCGCCTCAGAATTGCCCCTGTGTGTCAGTATGTAGTACGTTATATAAATTATCAAATTATTTATTATAACTTGGCTGTTAAATTTCTTTAAAATGGCTTAAGTTTTTTACGAGATAGTCTAACCAATTTTATTTTCAGGTGCCACAATATTTTTCTAAAAAGCCTAAAAAGTGAATGCCGCTAAATCTGGTAGCACTGAGTACAGATAAAAATAAAATACTTTCTCCAGTTACGCGTCATCACTAGTTTACAACAGAATGATATTTTTACAATTACTATCCTTAATCTATGGTATTCTCGTACGCTATAATTTATTATCTTTTGCCAAAGTTTTTGATCTTTCACTATCTGTTTTTTATTTTATTTTTGTAGCGGGTAGCAAGCTAAGTAGCAAATCATTTTAGCAACTTATATCTAGTACAGATTATATTCTCTATGATTATTACTGCGTTATTCTTATAATCCAATCTATTTTTCTTTTTTATTTCATAAATGACCAAAATAAGTAATTGATTCAATACGCAACCCTATAGGGTTCATTTATAAACATATATGTTTGTATATATAATCTTTCTATGACTTTAATTTAGTTAATAAAGTAGATATACCTTGTCTTCTAGGAGGAAACGATTTCTAAAGAGTAACTGTTCTTGTTCTGTATTTCTAAGACAAAGATAGAGCGCACAGATCACTTTATTTTAGGCAGGAGTAGTTCTATCTCAGTCTAACAAATGGTAAAATGCGCGTGTAAACCATAGATCTAGTAAAATCTAAAGTTAAGATATAGATCATCTACGAAGTTTACGGGTAACGCTGGATAAGAACGATAAAAATTGTAGCGCAACCTAAAGCGCAACACTAACCATTTCCAAAATTGAAAAAGACTGTGATGTGACTGGCGGGAATATTTAAAGGGAGCTGATGTTTGCATGTTTTCGATATTTAATAGTTGTATTTAATAGAATTAATATGAAATGGTATCTTTGATAATGTCAATGGCGTACGAGTAAAACGATGAGGATGAAGTCTAGTCAGTTAGTCTGTTGGTCTGTAAGAACGAATTACTAGAAGATGTACAGTCAAATTGAGTAGTAACAGTTGAGTTTATTGCCCGTTTGTTTTTTGATGGGTGAAAATGGTATGGTAACCTCGCCTTCGCTAACGGGATATGCTGGCGGAGCACCAGTGAAGGGTGATAGATGAGAATGAAAACAGGTCAGTTAGCCCATCATGATGAATTCATCAGGAATTAACCATGATAGTTTCGAGGGAGAACCGTGAAGAGGTCGACCTGGTTGGGTATATTGCTAGCAATAGGATTCTGAGTCTCCATTACTAACAATCCCTTTTCCCCCATTTATTGCCCGTTGAACAATTTAAATTCTATCTACAGAAAAATAAACGATTCAGATATACAGTCTTTATTCTAAATTCTTGATTTTGAAGCCAAGAACTCATAATTAGAAACACATTTACGAAATATTTTATGGAGGAATCAAACCTTGTTTGGGGAGCGAAAACTAGCGGCTTAAGGCAAAAGTGGAAAAAGTGTTGCAAGCCTGATTGGCATGATTGTTTATTAAGTTAAATTAACTTTGTAAAAAATGTCCACCTCTAATGAAAGCAACCCTTTATTTAGAAGAGTAATGAAGGTGACAATATCTATGTGCTTTCTTTGCAGTTTGCGGCCCGGTATTTTTCGTATTGCGTTTGACCTAACATTTGAAATATATGTTCTACATTCTATGTCTTATTATGTAATAGTTCATTTGATTGCGACTAATATTTTCGTTGTATATAAATACATTAGATTAATACATACAAAGAAATATTAAAAGATCGTTACAAAAAATGTTAATGAAAAATTCATAATGTCGCTATATACATACGCATTAAATAAAGAAAATAGTTATACCAAACATATTTACAATCTACCTATTTGATAATTGAACATAATAATATTTTATTGTATGTTTACTGTAAATTGAGAATAGAAGTTTTTAAAAGTAGTGAATCGAGATCAAATTATAATCACGATATAAAGAACTCTATACCTTTCTCTCATTGTGATATAATAGTGGGGGAAAAAATTATTAGAGGAAACAACTAAAATAGATATTTTTAAATTTAGAATGTTATAATTACGCTCCCAAAATATATACAATTCAAAATGGCACACATATATTGAAATTAATAAAAGTATTATATATTTTGACTCGTGATCGGCGAGCGTGTATAAAAAGATTGATGAATGTAGAATAAGCGAAAGAGGTTTGTTAGAATCGAAGCATTTTGCGTCCCATTGATTCTACCTACCCTAATAGGAGACAGGTATGACAGATATGTATTTTGGTTCGTAACTTTTTATTTGGAAAATATTAATATCGTATATATATATTTCTTAAATATTTAAAAAGAAGTAGATTACCACGTTTTTAGTCTTCAATATGCACATGATATCAGCTGTTACTGTACCCGATAAAATGGGGGTGTGTGTGTATTGGCAACGACAATTAGGCTTTTGGTGATGTTTTAAGAGAGACGCTGATGTTCAAGCTACGACCATTAAAGTTCCCTTAATCATCTCTTCTGACATCTATGGGAAAGAAAGGGATGGCCCATTTTATACCGGAACCATAAGGCAATATGCATATAAATTATTATTATTTCAGAATTCAGCTAAACATAGCGTTATGTTAGTTTGCTGTTTATCATTATATAAACTATCAAGCACAAATTTATACGGATAGATATATTAACTTTTTGACAGAATTTGTTCGATTTTACTATGTATGTCCATAGTACGTTATACTTTAATGCTTGTGTCTATATTAGACACAAGCATTAAAGTACCATACATTACTATACATTTACTATGGTGTGCCTAATGGAGACACAAACTATTTTATAAATTACTAATATCAAATTTACTTATAATTAAATTATAACAAACCTTTATAATAAATATAAGCAAATATTAAGACGAATGCATCGCCAAATAGAAGAAAAAAAAAATTTGAATATCGAACTAAATAAACGACTAATGATTTGACCTTACTTTTAGCCGTGGATTCCGTGAATTATGATTTATATTATGTAGCATTTTTCAGTGCTGCTAGTCACTGTTGTTCATGTATTTTTTTTAAATTGTGATTTAACCTTAACAGTTTTAAGTTAGAGAAGTGTTGAAATGGCTAATGCAGACTTTCGAAAAGATGTACCGATGCCTGTCCGTCCAAGGAGTGTCTACACTGCGCATTCCTATAATCAGGTAACTTTGGGTCCATTATTGATCAAATCAATGAATAAAAAAGATTTCTGGTATATTAATTATTGGCGATGAGGAATTACATGAACATAAAATTTATGGATAGACTAAATTCTCATGAAAAGGGCTTTCAATTATAGCAGATCTGTTTTTATTTTTTATTGGTAAAATTCAGGATTTGATATTTGTCTAGGCGTTTTTGTTTTATTACGATGTAATAAGGAAGCGTTAGGTTGTAGTTATATGGAAATGCTATTATTTTTTTTGCGATGATATCACCTTGACTTTAAAATAGTATGATATCGTGGTGTGCTACGGTCGATTATGTAATCTTTCTTCAAAGGACTTAGCACATAGGATTGTAACTACATTTTGAAGTCGGTTACTGTTGCTTAATTCAAATTTATTTGTAATTCTATTTTACACACTGTTTATGAAATTATCAGCAACGATTACACACAGTTATCAGCAACAAACATTTCTAATATTTCTGTTGACTGAAATAACTTTTTAATAATCCCCATGGAGTTTAAATAACATAAATTAATTAGCATACAACCGACATTACTATACACAATATTTGATATATAGAAAGCAACTAAAAAGAATTGGGAGGAGGGGGGGATTGTTAGTAATGCGGACTACCAGTGCTAGCAATATTGCTAGCTATGGGACCTGACAGGGTATATATCTTGTCAGGTCGTATTCATTATGATGGGCTAACTGACCTGCCTTTTTATTCTCACCTATCATTCATCTTAGGTGCCTCGCCAGTGTATACCGTTAGCACAGGCGGGCTTAACATTCCATTATCATCCATTAAAAAAGAAGTAGGAAAGGATTTCCCGGAATTGTCACGGGACTGGAAGATGAGTTTTGTGTATTTGATTTACAGGAGGAGTCGAATTTGTCTGCTTTCCAAGATTACAGCAAGTTTCTGGAAGGTGGATTAGGTCAGGCGGAATTGGTTGGCGCTGCAGGCTGGCAACCACCTTGGCGTGCACCGCTGCAACGCAAAGCACCCTTCTACCCTGGAGATGATATTTACCATGCTGATACTTGGCGAGAATTAGAAGTAAGTAGCATATGCACGTGTTGGGAATAGGTAGTTATGGGTTTGTAAGGTCGAGACACTTTTGTTTTCTTTAAAGGTAATAAGTAATATTATTAAAGATTTTACTTTTTGTCTGTAATAGATAAACTTACCAAAATTCTGAACCGATTTTAATTTTTTTTATTTATTGAAAGCTACATTATCTGCGAGTAACATGGGCTATATTTTATTTAAACAAATGTGTAAAGCTGTGGCGGGTTGCTACTGCCATATAAAGAAATTATTATTAGATAGGTAGGGGTACGACCTGGAGGTATGATGTTAGGTGAAAATGAATAATAGAATTTTACCTTATTTTTTGAGCTTTCTATGCTATAAAAGACCATCTAGGTGTTCCTGTAAAACCGAAACATTAACATTTTCTCGAAGAATTTCTTGTCTCCTGAGTCTTCCTCAGTCTAAAAGAGCCAATTCGGTGTTAAAGATTTACTTTACCTTAATTTCTTATCTTTTTTCAATTCATGTTTATTGGAAAAAAGTTTAGTTTTATTTCATTAGTAGAACGCTCAAAGGATGTTAATTTTCAGTACTAATGTCAATAATAACAATAATTATTATATATTATTGTTTTAGGTGACAGATGTTGTCGGCGGCGCTGGGTATAATGCCTCTGTGACTCCACATGGCACTGTCTGTCTTAGACTGAGGGATAGAGTGAAGTGAGACATATCGCATTTTAATTTTTAATCAACACTTATACCGACTTTTATTCTATGTAAACTACACACTACAAGGACAATAGACGAGGAAATGCCTAGCTTTTGTTCGCTCTTGTCTCAGTGGAATTTGCAAAAACTTTTTTCCAGTGAATTTATATTCTAAGTAACTGTAGAACTTCTTCAAGCTTGTTCAGGAGGCTATATGACCGACATATACGCGTTTGTAAATAGTGAATGCTATTTTTCCATATAGGTTAAGATCTCGCTGCTGACATGCACAGGTAAAAACCTTTTTCATGATAAAAGATTTAAGAACTTACATTTTTATTTATCTTTAATTTAAAGTAAGTTTCATTAAAAAGCCTTATACTTGCAAAAGTTAACAACGGAATTATAACCTGTTATCTGATAACCCATTTCACAAACTGTATGTAAACAAGATTAACGCATAGATTGGTTCTTAAAAATTGTAATAATAGAATAATATATCTATACACTATTCACGTAAAAGCAACTGGACGTTGACAAATTTCGAAAGAGGATAATTTTAGTATTTGGGTCAACTTGTATAGAAGCTTGTTATCCAAATGACAGAACGCGAACACAAATAAGCTCTATTTGTTTTTCTCACCCTCTTTTTCATAAAGGCATCATATATACTGGCGAACATGTAATCTGTGAAGTATTTTTTTGAAAACAATAACAATAATTGTATTATATGTTTGAAGGTTTTATGAATGAAAGTATTGGACTTTGTACAAACATGTATCTGTGTACGAGTAGGTTGTGTATAAAATCCAAAAACAAATTTAGTCGTATAAGGGTTTCGTAGCAAAGAGATAGTCCAATACAGACGGCTTTTGTTCAAATTCTCTCCTCTCTCTGGTGAACTGGATCCTTGTATATACTTGTTCAGGGTGGATATGACCATCGACGGGGCGGTTCGCGTCACCAACGCTAAGAACAATATAATACTGGCGTTATCCCGGTCGGGCGCCGCAGCCGCCCTCATCCATCCCAACGGACGGGTGTACCACTATGGCTCACGCGTCGAGATACAGGCCCGCCACCAGCAGGGCAACAATAAGTTCGTACGCTTTATATTTTTACATAAAATTGTGTTGTTGTGAATCATTGGGAGATCTGATTGTGTCCTTTTTGTACTATGGTCGGCGAAATTCGGCTGAATGGCTATTGAAGTTCGACTTTGAATGTTATTTGTATTCTGGTTTTATTGATAGAGCTCTTTACGAAAACATTGTTGATATTTGAATTTGTTAGATATATTTTTTTACTCAGAAATTTTTATTAACTGAGAGCAGCAAACAAGTTGACAGTGTCTACCTGAATTAACTAGCTACATGAGCAATACCATATCATACCTGAGGACTAAGATGCGTGCAGACATAAGTAGATTGTCTTCTTTTTTTGATGCTCTATTTATTAACCAGTAACTGAATTAGAGACATTTGTCTTATTGATTAATAACGAAAATAAAATTATGAGAGTGTAAATTTCGTCACAATTGTTATCAATAAACCTTGTAAAGCATCTAAGAAAGTGTAATTTTATAAACTTTGTCATCTACCAAGGTGGCCACTTCCAGCAAATGTGTAAATGCAATTATGAATCAATGAATCATAGTAACTGATACAAAAATTAAGAGAAAGTTTTGTTTGAATAATATTTTGTTAATGTAAGCAGTATCAACGATAATACAATTTATTGTACAATTATAGCAAAAATCATGCATATGCCCCAACTGATGACAAGCAGTTACTGGTAGGGCATTTCAGTAACGTTAGAGGTGTTGCGTTTACAAGTCATATATAAATGTACCTTTGCTTGCTAAAAGTAGGTATAAGTATAGCAGCGAATTAGAGCAGTAAAAATATTGATGCAAGTTCGAAATTATATATTTTTTTGATGGATGATAATGAAATGGTTACCCCGCCTGCGCTATCGGTATACACTAGCGAGGCACCAGTGAGAGATGATTGGTGAGGATGAAAAGGCAGGTCAGTTAGCCCATCGTGACGAATTCAACAATAAATTAGTCACGATGGTTTCCAGGGGGAACCGCGTGGAGGTCGACCTGATAAGGTATATTGATACCGATGGGGACTAACCTCCCCATTACTTACAATCCCTTAGCCCCGCAGTTACATTTGCTTCTGCGTATATTTAGTAAATGGATAATTATTTGTGCAGGTACGCGAAGATGTGGTATAAAGGCGTGTCGTTCACGGCAGAGCAGTGTGCGCTCGTGTACTTGGTGGATGCAGCTGGAACACGTACCACCACCGATACTTTCCTCGACATGAGCCAGGATTTCACCCTCAACGTATTTTATAAGTGTGTACATATATTGCTTTCAGCTATTCTTGTTTTTCATATACAACAATAGACACTTTTAGTATTTTTTAACCGTTATTGATTCCTACCATCTGACAGATAAGTGTGTTATTGATTTCATTTTGTCAATGCTTAGATAGAGATATGGTGTAATAAGAAAGATGAAGTTCAGAATGAGTATGCTGCGGGATGAATTGATACGACGGGGTTGGTAGTGATGTAATTTTTACTAATTAAAAATTGTCTTAACAATTGACTATTAATACAAGATAATATTAACTTATATATTAAGTAACAAACAAAGGAAATTAAGATAGATGTTATGGCGATACACTAATGCAGTACGTGCAATACTAAGTTAGAAATTATTAAACTTCTTGAAAACAATTTTCTTATTGAACTGCACACATTAATATAGGACTCTATAGATACGCCCTCTTTGAAAAAAAAAGATAAAAATCACATGAAAATACACAGTAAGGTGATCGACTATCATATGCTAATGAGTGACATTGTTGTTCTACGTGTAATTTCTTTGTCGCGGAACACAAATGCTGGTTTGAGTTGATCTATTGATACGTTTATTTCTTTATCATGATTGTATAAACTTTCCCTTTACGTTTGATAACCAGAAATAGTTCTAAATATGGAAGTATTAAACTAGAATGTAATCTATCGCAGCTCAGGAGTCTTTCTTCAGCTGAGGATGAACGAAAACGTTCTGAATTGATATCTGACGAATAAAGTCAACTAATTATTATTAATAGGAAAGATAAGTCTTTAGTTGTACAAAATCAGCATACGTGACATTTGGCACATCGTAAAAAAAATTGGTGGTAACTTGATAGTCGTTATATAAATGTGTTCTGTGGTGCAGCAACCAATGTTTTTTTGATAAATGGAGCGTAATCTCAAAAGAACTGATGGTAACTCTTTTGTATAATTTGTCGTATTAATTCTAGTACCATCTTTCCTACGATGTACCATGTACCATGTTTCCATCGTTTTGGCTTTCAATTCAATATGATGTGGTACGTTTTTTTTCTATTCCCGTCAATGCTAGGAGTCGTCTTCAGACTTAGATTATCTTTGGTACTGATCATCCAGTCCAAACTACATCACCACTGGGCAATGGGGGGAAAAGGGTTTATTAGTAACGGGTTCTAACAACCCCATTGCTAGCAATATACCTTGTCAGATTGACATCCACGTGAAAACCCTGGAATCATCGTGGTTAATTCTTATCGAATTCTTTACGATGGTCCGACTGACATGCCTTCATCCTCAACTATCATCTATCACTGGTATTCTACCGGAGAATACCGGTAGCGTAGGCGGAATTTCCATTCCATTTTTATTCCACACATTAAAAAAAAAACACTGGGTGAGACTAGTCTAGACATCCAAAATGACAGATAAGTGATTAAATATGAATAATTAAATATATCTTGATCTATGTAAATGGTTCTACAATATCAATATTGATATGTGTAAAACACCTTCGCAGACAAATAAAAATACGAACACGAGTAAAATATTCGCTAATAAATTTCAAGCAGCGAAATTGTGTTTATGCACTTTTTATTGTTGACATTGTAGGCATGACTCACGATACATGTTTATATCGTATTGTCAAGAATGAATATATATTTATATTCATTCTTGACCTTGATTAAATATAATAATATAATAATCTTTTTTCTGAATTGTTGTAACAAATATGTACGAAAACTTAAGAGAAAATATCGAAGTATATTCTGTAGTTGGAATTAGGTGCTCGAACAAGTGACATACTTAATGATATATTTAATTTTTTTTTTTTTTGATGGGTGAAAATGGTATGGTAACCCCGCCTGCGCTAACGGGATACGCTGGCGGAGCACTAGTGAAGATGATAGATGAGAATGAAAACAGGCCTGTTAGCCCATCATGATGAATTCATCGGGAATTAACCATGATAGTTTCCAGGGGGAACCGCGAGGAGGTCGACCTGGTTGGGTATATTGCTAGCAATAGGATTCTGAGTCTCCATTACTAACAATCCCTTTTCCCCCATTTATTGCCCGTTGAACAATTTAAATTCTATCTACAGAAAAATAAACGATTCAGATATACAGTCTTTATTCTAAATTCTTGATTTTGAAGCCAAGAACTCATAATTAGAAACACATTTACGAAATATTTTATGGAGGAATCAAACCTTGTTTGGGGAGCGAAAACTAGCGGCTTAAGGCAAAAGTGGAAAAAGTGTTGCAAGCCTGATTGGCATGATAATTCGATAAGACATCCGGGGAACCACGAACAAAAAAATCAAGAAAATCCCGCTCAAATGTCAAGACAATGTTGATTGTTTTTTTCGATGTTCGGGGGATTGTCCATCAAGAATTCGTCCCTCCAGGCCAGACAGTTGATGGAAAATTCTACGTCGATGTGCTCAGACGCCTCAAAGCTCGTGTGGCACGAGTTCGTCCAGAATTGGCGCGAGAGGGGCGTTGGATTCTTCACCACGACAATGCCCCTGCCCACACCTCTCTTGTTGTCCGTGAGTTTTTGAGTAAAAATTCCATTACGGTGACCGAACACCCCCCCTATTCGCCGGATTTGGCCCCGTGTGACTTCTTCTTGTTCCCAAAAACCAAATTGGTACTTCGGGGGCGGCATTTGGGGGACATAAATGAGATAAAAAAAGCTACGACGGGGCAGCTGAGAAACCTACAACCAGAGGACTTTCAAGGAGCCTTCTCACAGTGGAAACGGCGTTGGCACAAGTGCATTATGTCACAGGGGGAGTACTTTGAAGGGGATAAAATTGATTTACCTGAATAATTGTAAAATAAAATTTTTAAAAAACTTTTATACGTACTTTCCGGACAAACCTCGTATGTCCTACAGATGTCCCTATAGATGCCCTAAATTTAAAAGTAATGTTAGGGTACTTTACCGTTGACAGTGAATATTTAAATTTGCTAGCGAATCTTTTATATAGTGCTGGTTTAGTTAAGACTGAAATGTTTGCCCCTGTACCCACCAAAAATTGATAACCACTGTTTGAGACGATAGTCATGCGGTTTGATGAATGAACAGCACAAAAATTGAACTTAATCTGTACCGAGTCTAGTTTTCCGACGGCTGTCCTACATTTTTCTACAAGCAGGGCCGTTGACACCTTCTTTATATGTTTAAAATTATGATAATAGTAGAATTTGTTGCGATGTTTTGACTGGGACCGATGCACGATTTTGACCTAGATTGAACGTAGCGACGTTGTCCATAACTGTTGTGTTTGCTGAATTGGCGAACATTCATATTTTTTTTTCACATTACATTATATAAATATTTTGAATATATATATATATATATATATATATATATATATATATATATATATATATATATATTTATTTATTTCTTTACATTAAGATAGAGAGGGTGGGAGCGACAAACCTGATCCGTTTAGTACTCAATTGAACAACAATTTTCTTACTGTACTGCACTCATTAACGTAATATAATGAAGGAACTCGGAAAGTGGCGTCAGTGAACGGATATGATGCGCGGGGATAAAGAAAAGTATGAAGGCATAAAGAGAGTGAGATCTAATGACGAATGGATGGACTATAGGAAAAATGATTTGGTCAGAAATAAAGTGAATACTGAGATGGTTGTAAATACAATATAATGACTGGAAGAGAAAAAACAATATTCCGACTCTAGAAGTTCCAATAGATTTGAAATAATGGCAAAGAGATGATATGTATAAAATTAAGAAATGTTAAAAGTATTTCAAATTGTATTATTATTACAAAATTAATTTGGAACAATTGAATTTCAAACTGGTGATATCGGCATTTAATTAAGTTTCATGAGTTCTTAACTACGTGCCGATTAAAGCTAATTTACTTTGTAATATAAGTAGTTGCATAAAATTATATCGGAAATTATTACAATAACTTCAAATTGCACGTATTTGGTAAATTGATAACGTTGATGTTGCACCACAGCGAGTCCAGGCACGGACCGTCGTATGTGAACGAGGCGCTATCACTGCTACAAGCTGCTCAGTATTGGCTCACTGATGACGGGATCGACAACTGGATCATCAACAATGTGCGCGTCAGTCAGACCGCCGATGGTCTGGTTAGGTGGGATTTATTATTTAATACTAATAAAATTATTACAACACCTACATATTTCCCTTTTTAGCCTAAATTGCTTCAATTTTTAAGAAAAACGGAACCCTTAGTGGATTAAGTCAGTAAGCATAAAATCAGTAAGTTATGTTTAATTAAGTTTGATTGTGTTTAGTCGAATGTTGAAATTGATCAGTAGTCACGAATTAATGGCAGTTCCCCTACCTTCATTTACCCTCAAAAGTTATCCTATGTACACCCCTAAACTAAACTGTGTGAAAAGTTGTTTTTATATGAGCGAGATAAAACCATTTTAAGAGTAGTCTTAGGTTTTACAGCATCATTTTGTTGCTAGATTGCAATCGCGAACAATTTTGTAAGCGTATGTCTTTTTGGTGTTCCATAGATAAAGGAGTAAATACATATATAACTAATACCTGCATCACGTCTGTGTGTTTAACAGTATTGTCCATGTAGAAGTAGGTAGTCCGTGTGGTCTCTGCATAAAATAGATCACCCTTTCCTTTTCCTTGGATGTCGTAAAAGACGACTAAGGGAACTTAATGGTCGAGGGATGGGCAGCAGCGTCCCTCTTAAAACATCACTAAAAGCCTAACTAAAGTTACTACCTCACTTGTCAAGCGTGGCAACTAGTTTAGCAAAGGTTCAGCAGCGGATAGTTAACGGTTGATATGATGATGAAGCAAATAGTATGGATTTAGGATTAAGCTACCAACAAAATAGGTATTTACATTATCTCAACAGGGCATCGCACTACATTTCCTTACCGATTTTGGCTCTACTAAACTACTTAAAACTTCCAGGTAGGTAGCTTATCTAAATATCTAAAGAATTTGGGAAGAACTTCATTATTAATAGTATAACAAAAATGCAATAAAATTTTAAAGTATATAATGTATAGAAAGGGAGGATAGTTGTTCCTCAGTGGCGACCTCGTACATTAAAGATAATGTAGAACGACCCCCCACTTAATGGAGTGGCTATCTCAAATACGACTTATTTAAGTTAGTCAGTAGATGCAGGTGGCTCAGGATCGTTCCTTATGGCAGTCTATAGGGGAGGCCTATATTCAGCAGTAGACAAATAATGGTTGAGATGAGATGATGATGTATAGCTTTGATCTGTTACTAAAACTATTACATCTTCAATGTAGTAAAATGTATTTCTGATTTCTTAGTATATAGAAAGGTCATATATTTACATATTATATATCCATTGGATATTAATATGTGCCTACGTTATCAGAATCCTGTCTCGTCTCATCACTTGATACATGTTCATTGAATTCATTTCTATAGGCTGTCAATTTTGTGGTCCTGCCTTTAGACAATATTGATTTTTTTACCTTACCTATTCTTTGTCTCTATTCGGTTTTCAATCTAGACCATTTTTGTAAACCTCTATAATAAACAGAATTACTTTTTTCAGAAATAGAATATCATACTTAATAAAACTTTTAGTATTGGATAGTACTCACACTTAACGTGTGAAATATTGCAGGTTTCAGCTAGAATAATTATGTGTGTAATATCGTATTTAAAACAGATACAATTGAAATAATTTATTATTAATGTTTGCTTTCTGACAGGATCCACCGCTGCAGCCATAAGTATCAGTTGCGCACAAGTCCAAGCAACGGATCCGCGTCCATCACTAGTCCGTTCTTGCATTGCACCGCTTCATTGGGACAGACGCAGCATCTATTTGTTCGGTAATATTTCTTTGATCTGCAATAACAATATTTACAATTAGTATACAAAAAACATCCTCATTATAATAGAGTACCCAGAAGAACGTGTAGATGCTATCTAATTATGCTTGTACTTGATACCTTTTAGTCCATTTTAGGACTTTGCTCAGATTTACAAGGATTTTAATACTGTAACCTTACAGTATAAATATTGTAAGGTTACAGTGAATCTATATGTTGGTTTCATGCAAAGATACACAGTCCTATGTTCAGCAGTGGGCAGTTAATGGTAGATGAGATTATGCACAGATTCCAAATTTGCTTATAGCTTCTAGTTTCTACTTTAGCAATTGAAAATGTCATAACTACTATTTTTAGTGATGTACCTAAACATATTCTGTAATTTTTTGCTTTAGTACTTTCTAATTACTTAAGATTATTTCAAATTTTACATCTGATGTATATCTTTATATTTATATAAAGATATATATTAGATGTATATTTTTAAATTAATTTTAGTTTTATGGTAAACTTTGAAAATCTGCATCAATATCGGAAATGGTGTATCTGGATATGTAGCTGTTCTGTGACGTAAGTCTGTATTTGCATCGAGCTATCGATACACGTGTGCACAGATATTGTGTGCGCATACGGCTTGCGTACCATTGATTAACTTTAATTAGCACAAATACCAATTCAAATGTCAAGTTAATTGTAACCACGTCCGTTGTCTCCAGACGCGGCGAGAGGCGGATGCATTTTGACGGCAACTCGTTTATAGTTCGCAACGCTGGCCACTCGGCCGGTTTCGACGACAAGAATCAACTGAAGGTGTACTGAACCAAAAATATAACCAAACGGCTCGGCCGTCCTTATCCTAACTAGCTGGCGAGTTTTATCCTTACAATGCCTATAAAACCTAATCCAACATGGGATGTTGTATAGATCTACAGTCGTGGCTATTTTAATTGTAACTGTCGGAAATGGTTCCACTATTTTCATATTATATTTTCTCTCTTTAGATTCCTTTGAAATACGTGGGCTGGTCGTTTTAAAATTTCACAGTGAATACATCTCCTTTCTTTAATCATCAGTGTGTAAAGCTTGCTTACATTATACATTGTTTTTGATGTCGATTAGCGTGATCCCAGACATGGGTACAGATATGTTTCCACAAATATTTTTAGAAAAATTGTTCAAAATCCTCTTCGCAATATCATACTTTCTAGTTATGTATATGCAAATAAGTACACACTTTTGCGTCCTTTGGTGTACGCCAAAAAACCGATACAGTGATCAGAAATACGCAATATTTATGCAAATACGGGAAACTTGTGCAAACATTTACAAATTCACCCATACAGTATTTCCGCATATTTGCAAAGATCTTCACACGTGTCTGGGGACTCGCCGTTAGATTCTGATATATTGCCATGTTATAGATTAAGGTTACAGTTTCATGACCAAGTGTTAGATCACCTTTGTTGAGGCTGCTGTAATAATAACTTAATAGATTACTATTTTATACCTTTATTATTTATTATTTTGATGACTTTGTTATACCTATAGAAAGCCAGTGTTTATCTGCAGATATTTTCGTTTAGCTTGCAAAAACTTTATACACTGCGTGTATACAACTGTGCGTGTGTAACACTGCAAAAAACGGTTCAATTCTACCTTCTCGAACAAAATGCGTTATGCGAATAACTGAACTGTTCGAAGTATATATGCATTTGAACAGTGCAATAGATCAAAACTGTACTTGTACTGTTCTGTTCACTTGTTCTTCCAATAGCCAGATCAGTATTATACACACGTTTTGAAAATATTGATTTATTAATGCAATAATTTACTGCCAACTCAGTAGACTTGGCAGTTGTTGGTTTTGTAATAAAAAAATTAGATTTACGATTCGAGCCCATGTGTTTCTTTGTATATAAAAACTGCAAGTACGACGTTGTTACATAATAAAACAATGGCTACTTGATTGGGTTTTTATTTTAATTACATAGTCCCATTTTTGTACCGAATTTTGGAATATCTTAATATTTTGTATATCAGCTTCACTTTGTTGGATATTTTGCAGATCAGTATTACTTTAACGTTATCATAATTTGTTGTTTTAACACATCATATTTTCAAACATATGTATGTGAGGCTATTATATATATTATAAACTACTGTACGGATTTATCTATTTCATGCTTATAGATGAACGTACGTTTGCGATGTGGACGAAGTTAGAATTCCGAATCAGAATTAGGATAGTTTTGTATCGACTGCTTCATATACAGCTCAAGTAATTAAAGAGACTTGGTTTCTCAAGCACGTATAGATATTCAAACCAAAATATATAATATAAATATAAAAAAAGTTATATTTTATAAAAATGGCAAATAAAAGTTGTAATAGGCAAACATTAAGTATTAACTGATTTTAAATTTCGTGTCTATCATATCCTTAAATTATAAATTATAATACTATGTTTTATCATATCAAACTGATTGTTACTTCCTAGAGTGACCTATATACACAATAACAGTTTGACGTGACTAACCTAACGAAGTAAGCGTAAAAATATACGATGAATAACGTTGCTTATCTAACTTTCGTAGGCGTTCTGCAGCGTAACTCTGTTTAACTAGTTGCTCTGTAAGTTAAAGAAGGGGTAGTTTTCTAATTATGAAAATAGTTTCTACTTTTTGATTAATTATTTATACAGAAAAGAACTAAGTAATTTCAATTTGCTGATCAGATATAGGTCACTTTAATAACAAGAACTAAAGGGATTACAGTATACTGAAGGTATACTGTAATCCCCTTAGTAAGTATAATTCTAATAGTACTGTTGAATTTATTAATATTCTTATTTTTGTTTTCTGAATTCATTGGAACAATTGTTTATCTTTTTTAAATAGATACAGATAGACATGTGTAGGTACGTTCGGAGACCAGACGGGTGTGGACTATGATGAATTTTATGGGTATGAGCAAAACTCATAGAACATATATGTTGATGAATGCATATGATGAAAGGGACCGAGATAAGGAAGAGCTGAATGGAATTTTATATTAAATTACAAGTTTATTAATTAAAAGTTTATAATTGTTTTTATCATTATTGTATTGTTTAAAACTCTAGTCGTCATTATTATCTCAACCATGTGCCACCTGCTTCCATTAACTCCCTGCAATGCATTTAAAGTCGTCATTCCATGTGGTGGGGTGTCGTCCTACACTGGGTTTGTCCGTATGGACCTTGTAACTCAAGAACCCTTCTTCCCCATCGGTTGTCGGTTCTTCGAGTTATGTGACCAGCCAGTTGTCATTTCAGCTCGCTTATCTTTCTATAATTAATTTCTAAAACTCTAATTAGTAAATGTTTATGACATTAGTTATGAAAGAGACTGTTCTCTCTGTCTACTTCGTACAAGGTTTGACGTGAGACGAATTTTGTAGATCATCATCCAGATGTAGGGCATGTTCAGTGAATTGAACCCCACAAGGGTAGCCCCTGCAACATCTATCTAGTATTAGGTGGTGTAGGGCAGTGCTTTTGCATGCGTGCGCTGCGTATCTATTCGCTCCTCCACAGTGTGCAATAGCGCTGCTGCTTGTTGCCGCGTATTGATCGGCGGCGCATAGCCGGTGGCGCCGCGCCGCGGCTTTAGCCGGCGTCGCGGCCCTCGTGCGCCAGCTGTCAAAACCGCGTGACGTAACCGCTAGGGCGGCGCACACACGGCCGTCGTCTGCCGCTCGCTCAGTACGTCTGTACGGTACGCTCCTGGCGTGTTGCATTCGTCGCATCTCGGTCCAGTGCACTGTGTACCCACGCCGCAGATTTTGCGCGGCAGGTGAGGTTGGTTGGGGCCGGCGTGGCCCCGACCGCTCGGAGTGCGCCCGGCGCGGTATTGATCGCATCCCGTCCGACTGTTTCAATGTTTATAAACAGCCGGCCGCATATATTTGGTCCCTCTTGTTTTTGATACGTTTGTCTGACGACGAACGATTCGGGCGGTCGATCCTGAATGCACCGTCCGCACCCGCACCGGCTTCTCACCGACCGGACTCAGTGCACGTATGTATGCACTTGTTTATCCCTATTTCATTGCAATTACGCAGCACCGTGCTGACGACACCTCAACGTAGGTAGCTACGATCTATTTCCGACTATAAATAAAATAGGTTCCTATATTATTCTTACAACTTGTAAACATTTTGTGCTGTCACGCGTGTTACTCAATCGATCGGCTTTAGTTCGTTCCAAATAAATCATAAATTTTGGTGACGACGTTAATTTTAATTGTAGCATCATTATGAAAATAATGTACCTTTGCTTGAGTACATAGATATATGTATTTAAAATTAATAGGGATACTGATTGTCTTTTTTACCCAGTTAGTAATTAGATCTGCGCAACTAAATATGTATGTAATAAATGTATTCCTAGTACATTCTAGACTGACGATGATGAAACTGTTTGGACTGTTTTAATGTAGGGAATCTAAATGCAGTAAAGGAGCAATACGTATACCTAAGTGGAGGAACATAGGTTCGATTCAAATTTGTCTCTAGATACTGCGCTGTACATTTAATCTACTATATACTTTACATATATACTCACCTATTTATTTTAGTTACATCATAGAATTCAAATTAATACAATTTGGCACGGCACATAAACAGAGATATTGTGATGTAATAATAACGGGTATAAGGAATATCGGCGAAAACTAGTTATACACTGTGCTTTTCTTGAAACATATGATCGCGGGCTGTGTCGTTTCAGAAGAGTTTCCTTCCGGGAACGCTTGGATTGTGGAAATAATATCTATTTGCATGTTCCTAGATAAAGATAGAAAAAGACTAAGTACAAAAGAAATATATTTGAGTTGGTAAATATTTATAGTATATCAATAAATTTGTAAAGCAATAAAATGGTCTTATTCGGTTGAGTGATGCTAATTTTCAGAAAGTATTTATGGTATGGTATTTTCACCTACATTGTTTTTGTTGTTCATTGTTGTTCATTGTTACCTACTCGATCTACCCTGACCGTAATAGTTAGTATGAATCTTGCCGGCACCAAAAATATTGTGTACCAATTTAAATTTTCAATTATGTAACTCTCCGATAATAGGAAACAAACCTGGAGTGGTAGACGCGCCTCTAACTACATTTTGTTCTACTATGCTCAGCGTTATATGGATATATCAAGAGTAATGTAAGAGTCGACAAATGTTTCTAACTACCCTGTTAGGATTATGACCGTGAGCATATTTCATTATTTTTATAAAAAAAAGTTTAACTTTGTGTAAGATTGAATATATTTCCGAGTGAATTTCTTTCAGTCACGAAAAAATTTTAGCTGCGACTGCTCATAATATTGTCCGTATATAATATAAAGAGATAAGTATTTATTCTATAGCTTATTAAATGACTTTAATACTCGTATGTAACCCCAAATATTTGAGTGCGACCCAGTTTTGGCAATCCCATTTGGTGAGGTCATATGCCAGTTGGTTTCTAGGCCTCAAGTGGGGTATATGACAGCAGGAAGCTTGCATTTTCTACGTTCATACTGTTTATCGGACTAGGACACTTGTAAACGTAGGACATCCTGTTGTTTCTTGCGTCTCATCGCGGAAACTAATTAATGAAAGTGGAGCAACAAGGCCGTTTATTTTGGACTATTATTTTCGTCTAAACATAGATTGAGTCTTTTATCGTAAAATTAAATAGTTAATTATTTGTATACATGAATTTAAATAAGTACTCTTAAGTACATATGTAATTAGTACATACATATTATTAGCATGTATTAATAACATTGCCATTACATTTAATATAAAAAATAATATTCGTAATCATCACAAAATTAAGCTTTTTTTATGCAACTTAGAACAGCAAACAAGCTGACGGCCCACCTGATAGAAACTGGAAACATCACAAATAAGATAAAAAAATTGATTTGTTATTAAATATATAAGTTTTTTAGCGTTTATCACCAGGAATCACTCGATTCATTAAAATTCAGCCAAAAATTTATCAGATTTACAATCATCAGCAAGTTGTAAGAATTTTTTAATAACATATTGATGCCTAGTCAGGTTTGTAATCACGTTCTTATTTTTATGAATTAGGTGAGTTAAATTAATAAACCACGATACTTAAAAATAACGTAAAATAAACCAAATATGATGCAATACAAAATAGCTAATGGAATATTTTGATAAGTAACTATCATCTGCCGTTGCATTTATTGAAGCATACAATAATGTTTTTGCTTCGCACTTCGTGGGACAATGACTATACATTTTTTCACCGTGTTTCTGTTTCAAAGATTAATAAAATAAAAAATAACTATTGAATAAAAATAAAAAAAAATGTCAGAAATGTTCTGCTTCTGTTTCATCAATAGGTAATCTCGCAAAAAAATCTTGCAGACTTTTTGCAAGTTTTCGTGTACAGTTTCCCAAATACATTAGCTACAGTCGAGAGTCAACTATTATTTAGAACGTACCTAGCTATAGAATTATAATAATGAGGTATCTTTAACAAAAGTCAACCTCGATACGGATGGAAATAGAAAGACGCACAATGCACACTTCAAGTTTGCGGTGTCATAAGCTTTGTATCGGGTATAATAGGCGATAGTACATTACTTTTAATATAGCACTGTGACATTTCTATTACAAGAATTGCTTTTATTTCATTTCGCTGGGTCATTAAGATAAAAATAGTACTTAGATAAATGTTACGAGTGCATTGCAGTATGTCCTTGTGGCTGATGTCATACGTACAAACAACACAAACATTGGATGTCCAACAATAGTGCGCCCTGCCCACGTCATCTGGGTGCGCCAAATTTATGTCCACCTACATTATATCGTTGGATTGTAATGAACCTGATGACCTAAGAAAAGTCATCTAAGTGGTTATGCTTAGAGAGATGTTTCAATTTCGCTCGTTACTTTTTTTTTGAAGAAAATAATTTTCCCAATGACTCTTGAGTACGGGTTGATACTTCAAATACATTTAGGTAGTTGCTGTTGATATTATATTATTGATTTGATATTACTACCAAAAATTAATAACAGTAAAAAGGAGTGATAATAATTTTTATTTTGTTTATGTCTTGTCTTGAACTGGGTAAATGAAGCAGAAAAACTAACAAAACCGGCTGGTTTTTCTTTCGGAATTTAATTTCTTTATACCTACTAGAAACATTGAAAAATTGTATCTATTAAGTACTTTTAACTAAGAAATACGCAAATATAACAGTACCCAAATTATATAATTAGGCACATAGACAGCTGGTTATTTTATCGTTCATCAGTGGAGTCAGGCAACCGCGGAAGTTGAATAAATACAAACAAATACGACCCGGTGGCCGGAAAGAAAACTGAACATGAAACAAATTACTGTTTCAGTCGAGTATGTGAAGTGATAATCTTAAGGTCGAATATATTTCTTGAAGTACGTACAATTGTTTTAAAGTAGATAGCATAGGTTAGTCATGAGATAGTAATATCTTAATAAGTACATACCTAAGTATGTACTTTGTGATAGTGACAATATCAATAATATCACTGAGAATTCAAAGTAACTTTTAACAGATACTTATAAAGTTAATGTCATTTGTTACTATTTTCATTATTAAGTCTTGAAATGGCTTTGCACACGTGAATAGCTATATCTTTTCTGTTAAGTTGGGATATACTCTACTCATTAACCAAATTTCATTCAAATTCATTCAGTCGTTAGAGCGTAATTGAGTAAATAATATACAAACAAGATATTTGGATGTTTAGAACATTCAGACATTTTTATAAACGTTACAAACAAATTTTTATATTTATAATATAAGTAGAATTTATTTAAATATTAACTCGTACTATGTACTCTATACTCGTAAACAGAGGCGGTAGTTAACAATGCCTATACTAGGATTTTTTTTAATGGATGATAATGAAATGGTAACCCAGCTTGCACTAATGGCATGCGCTGGCATGACACCAGTGAGGGATGATAGGTGAGAATAAAAGGGCAGATCAGTTAGCCCACCGTGACGAATATTCCTGGGATTCAGCACTATGGTTTTCAGGGGGGACCACGTGGAGGTCGACCTGATATATTTTATATTATTACTAAGAATCTCTTTTTCCCTAGGATATATTATATTATATCCTGGCATAGAATAAGCCACCCCTTTTTCCTGTGGGTGTCGAAAAAACTAAGGGAGCTTATAGCGAAGGGATGAGTAGCAGCGTCCCTCTTAAAACATGGCCAAAAGCTAAACTGCGTCAAAACCCTTATGGGGGAAATTATATTCTGTAGTGGACAGTTAACGGCTGATGTATCATATATTGCTTTAATAAATGAATACAGCGGCTAGAGGGCCTACCATGAAATGAAATTTCGAAGTTTCGGACTCAATTTCGTGTTTTCGTTCATACCTAAATCGGTCCAGTAAGTGGAGCTTAACATTTCGTTCATCATAAATTGTACCATAAAAGTCCAAAGGAACAATATTTTTATTTTTTAATGTTTTTAAACGGTAAGTATTATGTAATTTTTACATTAAAATTGTGTTTCGTTCGGTTCCGAAATTTCGGAAAACATTTCATGGTAGGCCCTCTGGTTCTGAAACCTATGCTGTGCTGTAAAGATACTTAAAAGTAGCTCTCGCATTTCTAAACACGGCTGGGTATTTACTTAGACATAAGTACAAACTATTAGATAATAAAATAAATAGCCTAAAACAGTCAAGTTATTCAACTCTAGTATCAGATTAGAACAGGATGGATCTAATAATTTAGATAGTACTTCCTCTTGCTTCAGTTAAAATGATCGCTTCTTTGTTTTTCGCAATTTCAGTATCACTGATTACACTCAAGAATTATAGATAGGCATCTGTTAATAGTATATTTGTAAAGACAATTCCTTTGTTTATATGTAATTTCACAAAGTATGTGTTTTTCCTAGGGAAAAGTGTTCTTTACACTGTATTATTAACAAAAAATTGCCGTGTATGTACCGGTATTGAATAGGCCATCTCTTTCTTTCCCGTGGGTG